AATATTTTTACCAACACAAAATATCGATTTGGGTATCAAAAAGCTAATTTAAATATTTTTGGTTGAATTAATAATATTCATCTTGGTGTTCATAACTTGGACTTGGTGTTCATGGGTTGGACTTGGTCTAGGAGTGGATAAGAGGGGGTATGAGGGTAAAAAGTAAAAATTTGAATTGGGTATTAAATAACAGGTAATTTAAATACATTTTATCATTAGTGGGCGGCTCTAGAACTTGAGAGGTCATGAATATTTTTATCATGACAATGTATCAAATAAGCTTTTGTTAAAATAGTAGCATTTATTCTTGGTCTCAAAGGGCTGGTCCTAGTCTGGACAAGGGAGGTGGGGTTAAAAAATAAAAACTTGATACTGGTATAAAATATAAGGTAATTAAAAAAATCTTTTGATTAAAATGATAATTATCACTCTATGTGGGCGGGTTTAGGTCTTGGAAGTCAGGAATATTTTATTAACACAAATTTATATGAGCATCAAATGAAGCTATTTAAAAATATTTTGATTATAATAATATTCACTCTTGGTCTTAATGGATTTTGGTCTTGGGGAGGGGGGGGGGTGGATATCAAATAAAAGATAATTCAAAAGTATTTTGACTGAATTAGTAGTATTCAATCTTGATTTTAATGAGTTGGACTGTGTCTGGGTTGGTGGGGAGGGGAATAAAAACTAAAAATTTGATATGGGTATCAAACAAAAGGTGCTTAAAATATTTTGGCCTAGGTATTGGGGAGAAGGAATCAGCGATATTTTTATCAACATTATGGGTATCAAATTCTAGCATGTGTGGGGTACTCCCTACCCTACGAATTTCAGAAAATTTCCGACATAAACATTCATGTATTTTTTTTAAAAGTTTATAATAAAAATTAATTAAAATCTAAGTGAAATTCCCAATATGGCAAAGTTTGTGTGAAATTCAGGAGTATACGATGTATTTTGCTATAATTTATTTTAAGTCAAATTCGATTTAATTACATTTATAAATGACTCTTAACAATTAAAAATTGAGAATTCCGAATTCCCGAGAATTTCATATCTCTTTAAATAGGTCATCTAAGTGTTATATAAATGTATAATTTTTTTTAATTATTAAATAGAAGAGCCAGAAAGACGCACTTGGTGGCCAGATGAGGTTTATGATGTTAATAGTGGAGTTCCCCTTAAGGAAACAAATTTAGGAGAAAATTTAACTATAATCATCGAAGTTCAATAAAGTTGTTTTGATTATGTATAATTATATATACATTATTTTATTATTATTATTTATTGATATTGTTACTGTTATTATATAATCGATATATTAAATACTGCCATTATATAAATTCTTTTACTTAAAATCATATTAAGAGGCCTTTAAAGATTTTGATATCAACTGCTTCGCTTTAAAATCTCAAGAAAATTTTAATTTACCAGTAATCGATTCGAATGGGTAAAAAAACGCGAATAGGTGTATTTACCTAATTAATATTATAGCTAATTTATCAGCTGTATGGTGACCAAAATATTTTCCCGATTTGCAAAAATCATATTATGGCAAATTTTATTTCTTTCCATTTTGTAAAGGATCTTTCACTAGTATTTAAATGTTAATTACGCCCCTTATCCTATCATATTCGACTATATTTTATATCAAATTATTTAAGGTTGTGTCCAAGGCTTGTTTTAAATATTCGAAAGTTGAATTGGATATAATGTTTTTGTATACATTTTTATAAATAAAAAAAATCAAGTTATTGGCCCAACCTGTTAAAGGTTTCTAAACATATTTTATTATAAATTTTTCAAAAAAAGGATTCTTGAAGAAAGGCGATGAGAAATTTAAGATTTATTGACATTCCAGAGCTCGAGGGCAGAAGCTAGAGGTTTATCGAAAGGAATTCATAGCGATAATAAGAAGTTTCTCGATAGTCTTGAGGAAATAAATGTTTCTATTGAAAGATTTAACGGTAAACGAGTACCAGGACCCCTATATTTGATATTTATTGCTAAATGATATATTATGGTAATGCATCATGAGAAATTTAACCAGGGATGTGAAAACCCGGACCCTAAACCCTTCTGAACCCTTGTATTTTGGCTGTACCCAAACCCGGACCCTTTTTAAAAGTAGAGGATTCAAGGGTTCTAGGTGTCATAAAAAAATATAAATATTTATATAAAATAATATAAATTTTTTATTTGCTTTTTTTCGTGGAATCATTTTTGCGTTTTCTTTCAATTTTCTTCCTGGACTTCCATTTTATTTATAGATTGATATCATAAATTTTTTTTAGTGTAGGTAATAATATTTTATTATGAAATTTATTATTAGATTTCCCCACAAATATATATTACATCAGATGTGCAGCCCATACTCTATAATTGGCTATTTATGATTGCCTAAATAATAATCACTTTAAAACTATCATTGATAAAGCAATGGATGTTTCTAAATATTTAAGAACTCACCCAATTGTAAGAATATTAAAATCAATAACAAGGTCAATGGCATTATTAGATTGCACAACATGTTGATCCTCAATTTGTATGAAGCTAGAACGATTATTAAGTTTGAAAGATTTTTGTAATGATTTTATTATAAGAGCATATTTTGTAGGAAGATGATTGATGTCAAATAATGGACATTACTAGTGTATTAGTTCCTTTATAAATAACATCATTAAGATTACAATCTGAACAATTATGTTTAACTGATTTTTATGGCATATGGATTAGATGCCGATTGATTTAAAAAGATTTACTAGTTTTTTTCCATACGAAATATTAGAAAACATAAAAATTCGAGAGCAACAATATTTGCGAAATAGTGTTGTATACGCTTCTATATATTTAGATCCTTGATATCAAGTTTTATTGAGTAAAAACAAGTAGTTAAAGATCATCTTGAGGATATATGGCATAAGCAAAACTCCATTATTTACAATATATTAGAGACTACGTCAATACCTACTGGTTGTAGTGATAATAATGATAATGAAAGCAACATTGATGATCTATAAATTTAACTTTTAGATAGAGAAAAGAAAACCAAATTATCATCAGATAGAAAGGAAAAAAATGCCTATCGCATCTTTAGTAAAAAAGTTTTCAGAAGTTAAGAAAATAACTAAGGATACAAATATTTTAAAATTCTGAGAAGAAAATTATTTAATATATCCAGAATTATATATCTTGTCTAGAATCGTCATGAATGTACCGGCGACACAAGTACAATAATTTATGTATTATAAAGATAACTATTTTAGGTAAGCGTAGAACATGGATTTTCATCTTTGAAATATATATTGTCTAATACGTGGAAGTCCGAAGGATGAAATTTTATAAGATATTATGATTGTGCGATTGAATATAACATTTAAAATATTAATTATTTTATTTTTAAATTTTTTATTTGTAAATTATGAATGTGTATATATTGAGTATACTAATAAATGAATGAAAAAAAAATCTTATTTTGAGTCATTTTTTTTAAGTTCCCTGAACCCGGACCCTTTGTAAATTACTGTATTCAAATCTGGATCTGGACCTTTTTTTTTATCGAAGGGTTTACATCACTGAATTTAACATCCTCCGAATAAAAATAAGATAAATATTTTATTTTTTCTCCATCAAGTTTTAAAATATATTCGGAAGGATTCTATGGTAATAATACTTGCAGATTTTTAAGACCAAATTTATCAAGAACCATTCATTCATTAAAATTAATGTATTCAAGTGTGGGATAAAGAGATTTATTATATAGTATTCTTCAACTGACCATATATTAATAGTGGAACGATGTACTTGCTTTTTTGAGAGTCATAGTAGATAAATATTTAGTGGCTTAACTACGGGAGGGTTTTCGGGATTGGACCCCTATCCACCCCCCTCCCAGAGAATTTTTTTTTATACGTTCAAAAGACTCAAAAATGACTTTTTAACAAATAAATACCATTAATATTTATATTTTTCTGGTTTTGATGTTTGTGGAAGGATATTACTATTGAAATTATTCTGGAGAGTATTATTATAAAGTCATGGAGAGTAATCTACTAAATTATAATAACATATTATTGATGAATTTAAAAAATATTAGCCAAAAAATTATGCAAGCCTGAAAATTTGGATGGATGATACAAAGGTTTAGACATGTGAAATCTCTAGGCTCGAGCAATATTTTTTTGTCTAAAATATTGAGTTAGCTGTTTATAAAAATCGGCTCAAATCGAGCCGTTTAACAATACTAATTATAGATCAATAATTCTAGGACTTTTATATTCTAAGAAAAACATATATGATTTTTAAGATAAACCCGGCCAAAGGCCCGTTAAAGGGGGGTCTGGGGGCGAAGCCCCCAGGCTTTTATATGTATAAACCTTCTCTAAGGAAAAGTCCTAGCTACGCCACTGTAAATATTAAATACAAGGAAATCAGCCTTTGACTCAACAATAACATATTATTTATAAAATACGTCATCTACATTTGCTCAAATTTTCTTAAGTTTCAATATCAGTTTTTCCCATAGTCTTATTCAAAGCGATGTTTATTTTGTAGTAAAAAAGTTACAAATTTTGGGAAATTTTAAAGTGATAGATAAATATAGCGCCAAGAAAAATTTAAAATCAGCATTAATTTGTAGAATAAGCGTATTATTTATGCAGTAATGTGATAAATAAATGTAAATTGGAATATATATGAGATATGAGGTAAAAATTATTAAAATAAAAATGAATACTTTTAAAATAGTAATATTTATTAATTTTTTCTAGTCGGCATCTAAATATTTTGGCCTTGAAACCCCCCTCCCCCCATCTCACTCGTTACGTACACGCCTGAAGCCTATTCAATATATCATTGTTCAGATATCATTGATAAAGCATTTATTCTAAATTTTTTATTATTATATAAATGACATATATTTGAACCGACCAGCTGTCTCGCAGTCACAGGCGAATGATAAAAATTTCATAATTTTCTATTGGTTAATCTTACAGCTGGAAATAAAATGATCTATTCAAAATAAAATAATGAATCCAGATTTAGTTGTGGATCTCATACAAAGTGAATTTCCAACCTCTTATATCAGTGATGTTGAAAGCATTAAAGGGGGATACATAAGTGAATCATTTATATGCCATATTGATGATCAGAAATATTTTATCAAATTTAATGCCCTCAAACAAGTTTATATGGTATTAGTTTGTTATATTTTTAACTTTGATAGTCTTTAAAATTGTTTGAGAGTGAATATAGTGGGTTAGAAGAATTAAAGTGTACCCAGTCTATAAGGGTTCCCAATGTCTTTAAGGTTAAATGTTTATAAATTTATTAAAAAACTTATTAGGTGGCCTATAATATTCAAAATGATTACTCTTTTATAATAATGGAATACATCAATATGATACCTATCAAAGATGTAGAATTATTTGTTAAAGCTTTAACTCAGTTTTTTTAAAAAAAAATAGATATTAATTTTACTGTAATTAAGACTTCACTCATTTGATCATAAAATAGAAAATTTTGGATTTCATGTTCCTAGTTATAATGGATTTATATCGCAACCAAATTCCTGGTGTAGTAATTGGACAGTAAAAGTTATTGTAAAATTATTTTAGTCATTTATCTTAGACATTTTATATTGAACAAAAATTAAAACCACTGATTAACAGTCTTACAAACAAAGTAATTTATATTAAGTTAAATATTTTATATCATATAAAGTTTTATTATAATTTACTTTATTGTACTTTAAAAAGGAGGTGGTTTATTATAAAGTATGAGGTCAGCCAAAAACAATCTCTAAATGCTAGTGTTATTATATAGCCCAATTTGGGTCAATTTATAAAACAGCCAATTAATATGTGCTCCCTCTCTTCAATAATAGATACAAGGCCCTGATTAGAAAAACTTATTATTCCTTCTATTTACAAATGAAATATTAATCCACCAAAATTGTGAATTATACTAGTGAGGCGATGATAGGAAATGGGTCCGAGAATACAAATTTATTTTTTATACCCAAAAGTATTATCGACTTCCATAAGACATGGTTAGCATGACCTAGCTTAAAATATCAAGGACATAGTTTGGACATCAAATTTCCACACTAGGAAACAATAAGATCAGAAAGACACCAAATTTTTTTGAAACCATTAATTAATTAAAGAATATGACTTCTTTTATTCAAATATCTAAAATTTACTTAATTTAATTGTTTCTTATTAAATTTTATTTAAAATATTAAGTTGTTATATAACTGAACAAATTATACAATATTAATCTGTTTATTAGTACACAGATGACAAGGAAGAAATTTTGAATCTTTGGCAAAGTTTGAAGAATAAAATACCAAAATTTTTTGAAAATATTGACATAAAACCTGTATTATTACATGGTGATTTATGGATGGGAAATGTCGGGCAAACTATCACAACTAATGAAATTGGTAACTAAATTATAAACGAAATATTCGATCCCTTAAAACGGCAGTCAGCCATAACCTTTTTACGCTATGAAATTAAGAACTCAAATTGGACAGAAGATGGTCATTTTTACTAATCTAGTGTTAAATGACTTCATTTTTAAAAACGGCTAACCCAATATTTTATCCAGGAATATTAGGCAAGTTTGGAATCTTTGCTCATATCTCGCGGTTTGTGTCTTATTTTTTGGCTAAAATATTGGGCTAGTCTTTTTTAAAAATCTAGCCATTTAACATCATTATACTAATCCTTATTAAGGTCTGCAAAAGACAAAATTTTCAAGCGCAGCAGGGTCGGGATTTTGTTTTTGCCCGGCCCGGTCTTTGAAAATTCGGTAATACATCATAGGGAAAAATAACAAATGATGACGAGGATTTCGATTTCATGATTTTTTTAATTAAGGCAATTAACACAAAATATAAAGGAAATTGTTTTTATGAATGAATGATCATAGTAACAGGTCATTATCAGTAAGATTTTAAGCAAAATAAAATAAATATTATTTTAACAAGAAATTAAGCTTTAGTAAAATTATTTAGTATATTATATATATTAAATACGGCAGGCATCTCTATTTTTTGCTTGCCCTAGTCCATAAATATTTTTGCCCACCCCGGCTAAAATAATTTTTTTCAGACATTACCAGGTGCATGGGCCGGGTATTTCAGATTTCTTAATCCCTACCTACCATTATATTTGAGAATGGGCTTTTCTTTATTTGTTATTTATTTATTATTTTTTTTTTGGGGGGGGGGGATATTTTTGTGGGTTTTGTCAATTTAAAATAATAGTCTATATTAATAAAAAAAATTAAATAATAGGTTAAAAGGCCCTGGCTAGTAAACGGTGTCCGAGTCCCCTAACCTCATTGCTAGAGTTTAATTGAATGTATAGGATTTGAGATAAAGTAAGAACAAGGGTCAAACAATTAAATACGAGGCAAAATGGTTAGCTTTTCAGATCTGATAATAATAACAATATAGTAAAGAGTAAGGTGGACTAGTAGAAATACTTATTTATATTATCAAATGGTATGCATAAATTCTGAAAGATTGTCGATAAATGTAATTAAAAGCTTCATAGAAAATTAAAATATTCCTCCTATAACATTTAATTCTTCCGATAAAATTAATCGAATAAAAAAAATATTCAGATATATTCGATTCGAAAATTTAGAATCGAATTGAACAAGAAATAACAGACAATTTTTCTCTAATTACACCAACCTAGCGACCGGCAAATCGATAAAAAATTTAATGCGGACTGGGCCAGGCTTATCTATGGAATATATTAATTACATAAATAATTGATTGTACCATCTTAAAAAATGTCTCCAAATTTATTTTATTTAGTTTTTTATGATCCTGCATGTTTCTATGGGCACAACGAATTTGATCTCGCCACATTATATGCCTTTCCACTCGAAGACGACCCTTTGCTTTCTAACATCGAAACGATCTATTACCGTTATTTGAACAAGACCCCTCAAGCTGGGCTAAAATGGAGAGCCAAAATTTATCACCTATTTCCTCATCTCCTTAATTGGTAAAAATTTTTTTAAAAAAATTACATTTTTTGAGATGCGATTGAGAGAATGATCAGTTCTATAGGATCGAGGTATAATTTGATATATTTTTTTGGGCAAAATGGCTCAAGACCCAAAAGATGTAATTAGATTAAAAAATTCTAAGAGTCGGGGGATAAAATCTGCGGTAATATAATTTTTTTAAAAAAAATTCTAAAAATTTTAATTACATATATATTTATATTCCATTTTAACATATTATTTTAGGATACATTTTGGTCCTCTACCGTATAAATCCTCATCGTTATCATTGATCAAAGAAATTATGGAATATGAATTTTCTACATAAATTTTACATTTATTATAAAGATATTTATTTTATTTTATAATTGATCTGCAATTATTTATTTTTTTATAAATAGCAAATCTTTATTTTCATGTATGTCGTATTGGATATTTGGAATCCATGGGGATTCAGATCCCAATTAACCGGAAATATATTCTAATAGAGTACGCGTACGGTAAATTTCAGACAATTTTGCCGGAAACTGCTGAAATACTTTAAATTTAAATTCCGTTTTTTATATAGATTTTTTCATATAAATTTTTAAAAAAATACACCAGAGTTTATGGTGAAAATTGCCTAAATTTTATAGGGCAGGTATTATACACATTGTTTAAAATTTTTAACGCCCTAAGAAAAATAATTCAAAATCGAGAGATTCTCAATCCCCATAGATTTCATATCCCATATGACATATATATGAATATTATTAAACTAGGGATGCAGCATTTTTTTAAAGCGGAATATCAAAAAATTAAATGTAAATATAATCAATATGATAGTATTAAAATGAATATCTTATAGTGTGTTGGTGCAAATATTATTTATGATATTTTTTAACAATGCAAGTAAATATAATATTGCGGCATGCCTCTTCAAAAGCAAACATGATTCGAATAGTTCATTATTCATATTGGATGAATCAAATAATTTACTACTCGTAAGTCGTACGAATAATAAAATTTACTACTTGTATTCGATTCTAGTTATATTAATATTTCTTTTTTTAAAAAATAAATATTAGTAAAAGAATTCATTCGAAAACATATTAACAGAATTTTTTTTATTGCACATCTAATTTTAAACAATTTTTTTAACTGATAATGCGTATTGTCCTTTAATCATTGTATATTTAACAGAGCTACGCCAAGTATTCCTCATTGTCATTTCCATCAAACCAGTTATTAAGTAAACTGGGATGAATAGCCCTTTACCCATTTGTGGGAAAGTCGCACATACTTGAAGCATTAATAGTCCTAAGAACTATTATTTAGACCTCTGCGGGCTGATTAAAAAGGGATTTGGCAAAGAACACAGTCCATACCCATAAATTGCATATATATTTAGAATTTAATTTTAAATTACTATATAGATGTCAACTAAGTAAATTCTGTTGGTTGGAATATATAAATTTATGCCATGTTTATATTAGTAGTATGAATAAATCGAATGTAGAAGGTATCTAGGAAATACTTATAATTATATCGTTAAAACTTTTTGTTCATCGCTTCTTGTATTTTACATTAATTTTGTTGTTATGTCCTTGAAATCCTCTAAAACAACAATAAAAATCGAAATTTATTTTATTTTAATAGTTACTTTTCGCTAACAGTCAAATTAAATCAAATTTTTTTTATATTTTACATAACTGCTAATCTTGTAATAGAATTTTTGTCACTCATTTTAAATTTAATTGTTTTGCTGATATTTAAAAATAAATATCGGAGGTAAAAGTTTGTTCATATTCACATATTAGTAATCATATGCCCCTATCATAAGGTATATTATAACATTTAGACCTATCGACTCAGCTCAATAAGATTTTTAGGTTACTATTTCTGGAAAATAAATAAGGTATCCAAGGTCAACATTTTGAAAATAATCTGTTCAATTGAAATTTTGATACATGGAAACGTTAATAATATGATATTCTGAAATGGATCCTAAACCGCCCCGGATTAGATGTAAAATAGACTTTGCCTAGATTTGTTAAAACAAAAATTATTTCAAGCTCCAGCACAGGTTGTATTTTACTTTTAAACCCGCTGTAACCTGTGGATCATGACGAGATTTCGATATCTCATATCAAGATCACACCGGTGGGTTTTGAGATTTTGATATAAAATGGCCCCCAATATTTTTGACGCGATTAATCTAAAATAAAAAAAATATTTCATTAGATGAATTTAAATTAATAATATTAAAATATAGCAACGTTAATGATAATGATAATATAAGTACCTTTTTTTAGAAATTCTAGTTAAAATATTAATTTCTATATATTGTTGTCTAAACTAAAATCAATTAGTTAAAAATTAAAAATACTTTGGGCTATAATTAAAAACCAACTTTATTTTGAAAAAACTATGAGTGAGTATTTTGAATCGAAGGAATTATATTTAGAGAGAAAAAAAAACAGATTAATGCAAAATCATAAATACAAAAAAAATAAAAAATAAATACAAAAAATAACAATGCCCATCAAATATATAAATCAAATTAAATAGGATGTCCTAGTTCAAAAGCTGATTTCTAGACTAAACAGTAATTAAGTATTAAAATAAGTCGAACCAGGTCACAGCCTAAACATATTGAAATGGAAAATGTGAGGTTTTAAAAAAATAAAAAAAAATATGAGAATTTAGACAATTAAATAGTTATTGAAATTTTGAGAATTTGAATTGCCCCTAAATGTATTTGAAGCTATAAAAATCAAAACATCATAATTTCAATTTCACACTTATTAATAGTGTTGTTAAAAGACACGATTTGGGTCGATTTTTAAAACGGCCCGATTAAGATTTTAGCCAAAATAATCATATGTAAGTTTCGAGATTTGACAAATAGCGGTCCAAACTTTTCTGCAACTTTATGAGCAAAATCCCAGGCTTACATATTATGTTGGCTAAAACCTTAATCGAGCCACTTTTAAAATCGACCCATAGCCATGTAATTGATGGTGAGATTTGCAAAATCTCTTAAATTTCATCTTCACACGTTAGGCTCTTGCGGGGTTTTTTTAAATCATACTATTTTACTCAGAGTTTGAAAAAACTCCTCAAAGATTTTTTTTTGCCCAAAATATTTTGCAAAAAAATGTTCGAAGATCACAAAATTAAAGATTTTCTTTATGAAGATCAAAATTATTTTTTAACAAAAATTGTGATTTCAATTATGAAAGGATTTTTATTCATAAAAATCACAAAAGATTTACTTGTATTTATATAAGATTTTTTATAAAAAATGGACTGTTAACATTAAGACTTAGTTATTTCAAATTTGGACCGCTATATTTTTAAAAAAAATTCCGAGGCCATTGTGATATTTTTCGGCTAAAAACTCGTAAAATTGACTTAAAGGGCTAAAAGTATATTAATTACGCAACTATAGTTAAATTTAAACTACTACTAAATCCATAAAAATTTGCACAAAATGAAAAAGATAATTTAAGAAGAAAGATGAGGGAGTGGAAAAATTTGAAGAATACGATTACTTTTAACATTAAAATAAGAATTAAAAAAAAATGATGTCATATTAATTTATTTATTAAAAAATAAGAATATTTATTTAGGTATCATCTTCAATTCTTCATCGTAACAAGGGAGTGTTATGTTTAATATTTAAAAAATCTTTTTAAAATTTGCTAAAATTTTATATATAGGCATAATATTAATATAACAATATAACATGACTTTATTGTATAGAATAAATAAAACATCTTTAGGGCATTTATTAAAAAAATTTTTTTTTGACTTTGATTTCATTCCACTCCTAAATAGTTAATTTTTTTATATACATAATATGTTTAAATTTAATATCTCAAAAAGAGTTTTGATTGAAAACAATAAATAAATAATTTTGACCAGGTCTGCCCAATCGAATGAGGCCCCGAGCCGCCAAAATTAGACTATATTAAGGGGGGGGGGTATTTTTACATCTTATTTATATTTTACTACAATTTATTTCATAAATCATACCTAATTCATATTCTAAGTTACTTATTCACAACTCCCACAAATAAAATTATACTCAAACTAATTGATACTGAAAAGAACGATCGGATATTTTACCTTTCCTACCGTATTTCAATGAATCCCGGAAAAATACCCCAAAAAGATTCGATCGAAAAAATTGCGGAAAATTTTTTTAAGGAAAAGTGAATATTATTAAAAAGAAAATATTATAAAACAAATACTATGTATTAAATAAAGTGGAGATAAAATTTCTATGGTGACTATTTGTGGATAAATTTAAATTGGACATTATTAGGTTTGTTAAGATAAATATCTACAAATAAGTGGGAAATAGTAGTGGACTTTTTATTAGGCAGGAAAGGAATAATACAAAAATATGAATCGAATTGTATATATTTGCATTATTTAGGAAAAATTTTGAAATATTTATAAAATAATTTATGATATTTACAAATAATTGATTATTTATGAATAATTTTGAATATTTATATTTACAAATAATTTCGAATAATTACTAATAATTTTAAATTATACAAATAATTTCGAATATAGATTCATAAATAGATAAATAAAAAATGATTCGACGGATAATATATTTTCCTTTTAGAATTAAAGTTTTGTTTTTCATATCTATATACGAATCGAATCGAATAACGAATAATTTGATCTAGCTATAGTCAGTAGGGACATTGTTCTAAAGGAAAAGAACGAAGTATACGCAATGGCGTCACTAGCCTTTACATCCTCAGGGGGCTTAATTATTTTCTTGCCAATATTTTAGAAAATGATCATTTTAAAGAAAATTTTAATGCCTCACTAAATTGATAGTGACGCTCCTGGGTATGCGCTGGAAAGCCAACTCTTTTTAAAAATCAAAAAATCGAGTCACAACACTAAAGAGCTATTCCAGTATTTTTCAATACCATGGGGGGGGGCAGATCCGCTCGACAGTTATCTAAAAGATTTATATATTTTGATTGCATATTTTATAACATTGACTTCAATTATTTATAATATTTTTGATATTGCTACTCGTTTGATAACCTCGAAGCCATGCATTCATTTGTTCTGCTCAATAAGCGTGCATCTTTTTTTATGGAAAGATGTAGTGGTATAAATCACCATGAAAAGATACCGAGCTCTTGCTCTCATTGGCGCACAGAAAAAATAATAAATTAAAATATAAATAGTTATGCATTTATTCCTAAATAAAATTAATTCTCAATTTCCTATCTGAAAATGAAAAGAATATCATCGTTCAAATTACAATTAGTGTCTTAACTGAAATTAAAGTTATGTAAAGTTTCGAAAACTATAATAAATAATAAGCTTTTTTTAATAGAAAAATTTAAAAAAAAACAGAAAGAACATATTTTTAGTAAATTTTAAAAATTTTACATTGCGATTTCGTTAGAATTTATTAATTTGTGTGACTTCTGAAACTTTTGAGAAAAACAAATTTAAGTTTTGGAACTTAAGTAAAAAAACTAATAAGAAAAATTAATTTTCTTTTATTGGAAGAACATATTTATAAATTCAGATCTAGGCTTGCCTAATCAGCTGATTATAAACATTTTTTTTCCCCTCTTATCATTAGCCCGCATATTGCTATCGCGGATTCCACTTTTATAAAGTTATTGTCACACACAGGGATGTAACCTCGGTAAAAATATTAATCGAGCTTGTTTCGGGTTCAAGGGAATATTTTTGAACCCGAAATTGGTTCCGGGTTCAGCTCGTGTTTAGGAATATTTATATTGTAATATAAAAAATTTCTAAAATTTCTATTTAACAATAATATAAATATCTTAATATGAATGGTTAAAAACATTCATTGAACCAGATTAAACTCAGGTTCGAAAGATTTCAGGGTATGGTTCGGGTTTATAGAAATTGTACAAAAGTGTTTCAGGTTCGGGTTGGGTTTACTATTTTTTTTAAAAAAAAACCCGAGTTTTCTTCTCCGAGTTTGGTTCGAATATCTAGTCACACAACACTTTGGTAATCCATCTTACAGCCATAATTTGCAACCATTTTTAAATAAAAAGATCAGAGAACCTGCAGAGTTGGGGAAATTTCAGACCCAGGCAAGAGATTTAAAATATTTTTTTTATTCTCACCCCCGGATCGCATTTTTTTGAATATTTTTTCTCCCCCCAGTTTAGATTTTAAATTTTCGATTATTTTAAGGGACCCGATCCGAAATATTTCAATTTTATTCTTTTGAATAGTTTTGGCCGTATTTTATATATAATGTCTTAAAGGATAATTCAAAATACGAGGAGTATACGAGGAGTATATGACTTTCCAAATAATTGATTGACATCAATCCAGGTTTTGTAAAAAAATAATATTTATTTTTAATTTACGGCCTGGTCCATATATCCCAACCGGACCTGGCTTGGTTTGGCTCTGGTTATCTGAGAAAGATATATACGAAAATTTCAATCACAAAATTGAATCTATAAAAAAATCCTAATGAATGAATCATTGATTAAATATTTTTTTTTATAAAAACAATGTATGAAATAATAATAATAATATAAAAAAATGTGTATAATGTAATAAATAAAATATATTATTTTTACACCTTTAGAAAAAATGATTTAACAAATCAGCAAAATTTTTGAAAGAAATTTTAAGAATATATATATTTACTAATTTCCTTTTTTTTTGTTCATCTTTTGTTTTAATTTACATTTTATTTTGCCTTATTTAAAAAAAAACCCTTTTAAATTAAAAAAATCTTTATTACAAAGAAAAAAAAATATTATTTAATAATTACAATCGTGTATCGATTCTAAAAACCAATCCAAGGTAAAATTATATAAAATATACTAAAAGTCGCAGGGCAGTCCCAGCTCATCTTTTAATCGCAGTTTATCCTAGTATAATAATGTGAAACGCTTTATTTTTATAAAAAAAATTTTGTGGGAAGTAATAATCTGGAAGTAATAAGTTAGCTTAGGAAGACCTCTAATGAGACATTTGGCCTCTCCTAAAACTCTATCTTCTCTCTCATGATGCTCAATAATAAGGGAAAGTCCTATAAAATCTTCTTTTTTTTCTGTCCGAACTTACGAATGATCAATAACGAATAATTCCCGAAACAAAATACTTCAGATTTTGATATTAGTCAAAAGTTTTTAGGAATGTCCTTTTTAGTTCTCCTTTTCCCCCCGTATTAATTAAATTAAATAAATTAGTTGTTTTCAAATCATTAAATATTCGTTCTCGCTCATTGAAGTTTAATGGTCTAAAAACCCCAATTTTATAAGGCAACTTTTTGATTAAAGTACAAAAATATACATTATAAATTTATAAACATAAAAATAATAATATATTTGCACTTTTTTTAGCAATAAAAAATGATTTGGGAATTTTTTCCAGTGTAAATATGTTTAAAAAATACGAATAATATTTATATTAATAGATTAATTGAATGTGAATAATCTTTGAATGGGTCTATTGAAAGATTAATGGTGTAAACAAGAGGGGGAAGGGTTGGAATGCAAATTTGTCCGTTTTCGTAAATATAATTTCCAAGCGAATAAGAAATCTTCGCCAACACTTCCCTCTCTCATTTATCCCTAAAAATGAATGCAATATGTATAAACAAAATAATAAATAAAAGAAGTTAATAATTTTTGTGAAATAATGACCGCTATATTAATTTTTGAGAAATATGAATAACCAAAAATTATGTTAAAGTTGTCAATGAAGGGACGAAAAAATTTGAAGGTAAAAAAATCTACTCAAAAATCCCCCCTCTAACGGAAATCCTGGATATGGCATAGAGAACGATTAAAAATCCTTTTTTAATTTTGATTTTCTTAGTTACACAATTCCTATGTGCGCGAATCAACTTTCATTTTTCGGAGATAATTATTTCTAAAATTTAATCCAATTTTTATCAACAATTTATATTGTAAGCGGAGTTGTAAAACGCTTGTTTCTTTCAAAATTCATTTTTAAATTTAAAAATATTAAAATTATTTTAAAATTTTCAGAAGTTTTAATCAAATCTTATGTTAAAATTTTTGATATTTAATTATAGTTTTGACATGTTTTTATTTTTATATGAAGATGTTTTTCAAACTTTGCTTTTATTTAAGTGCTGTTGATAACGAAAGTTGTGAAAGGTTTTATCATTTTGATTATTTTCCGGCTCAAAATTAGTTCCTAATTTTTTCAACAAAAGTGTCACAATTTAAATTTTTTTTCCTTCTAAATTATAAATTCTAAAATAAAATTTTATTTTTTTAATTATTTTCTTTATAAAACAACAATATTATAAAATTTATGATAATTTATAAATAAGATAGTTAAAAAAATAAGTAAATATAGAAGGAAGAGATTTTTTTTATATCATTTTTTTTAAAAAAAATAGAATAAATTAAGACATTAGTAAAAAAAAAACGTAATAAATACATTACAAATTTTATTATTTTTATTTTTGTAACTAATTATCCTTTTTTTATAACATTTTTTTTGGGAGAGGGATGATATTTCAAGAATTTTATCCATCTATATAATATAATGTTTATCCCTTAAATAAAATACTTTTTATTTGTTCTAAAAATTTAAATACATTTTTCATATGGTGTTGATTATTTAAAAAATAAACTTTTTACATATAAAATTTTAATAAAAATATTAAATCAAAGAATATCATTTACGTTTACATTTATGATACATTAATTGAAACATTATGTATGTTAGATAAAAATATAATGTTTGTTTATATTTTGCTAATTTTTTTTAAAATTTGAATAATTTAGTTTTTGAAATTTTTTAAATAATATTAGTTGTCCAAGTTCTTCATCATCCAATGAAATCATCATAAAGATAACACAATAACTTTTAAATATATAATATAATAAATTAAAATTTTTTATTTTACAAAAATGCTTGTTTTTTACAAATTTACAAAAAAAAAACAAATGCAATTTTAAACTTTACTATACTATTAATATTTTTTAAAAAAAGAAGAATATTTTCTCCATTCACAAATATCATTTATATAAAATATTTTTTAAAAAAGAGGAGATTTTTAATAACCCCTTACATCTGTTGCACATTGCTTTCGCAATCAAAATTACATTGGTAGATTAGATCAATACTATCCCACACTATTCTTTTTTATCCCTCAATTTGAATTTCCATTATCCATTATAACACTGTTGGGGCACAAAATCGTATACATAGAGTAAATTAATTCTGAATAAACACAAAACAAACTAAAGACAACCTTAAAAATTATTTTAATCTAAATAAATGTTACTAAACAAAAACTAATCCCAAGCTATGTATAATAACATGGAATGAAATTTTCTGAAATACAATCATAAGAAATAAACAAACAAAATAAATGGATTTTACAAAATTCTACCAGTGCAATCGAATCAAAAATAGTGCGACCCTTATGATATCCAACTTGCTATTCGTTCACACTTTATTCGAAATTTTCGGCTCGGCCCGAGCATTTAATTTGGACACAAATTTTTCCACCATCTATTCTGGGGATCGAGGATCGTATTTTGGGTGGACGGTGTCTTCTTATATTCATGAACAGACACCTTGGTAAATTATAATAAAAAAATATTTTATAAAAAGGGAAGGAAGGGTTGGGGGGATGCATATTTTTCTTATAAATTTGTCATATTTTGGCAGAATATTACCTAGTTATTTTTTTTAGATGTTTGCTTAAAAAGAAACTTCTTTTTTTATCAGAGATCTTTTATCATAGAGTGGAAACCTACCTCCTTATCTTTACCACCCTTTATATTAATTCAGACCTATTATTGTAAAACATACACTATTATATGTCGTCGGCTGAGTATCATAGTGTTCTATATCCAATTGCAAAGTGCATTTTTTTTCGGATAAATCAATTTTTTCTGAATCCTTTATTATTTGAATTATAATATTGTGATCTCTTATTTAAAATACAAAAAATTTTTTTTTAAAAAATTGCTCTCCTGAAACATTTATTAAAAAATGGATATAATTAACTTGACCATAAAAAATCAGTGTTCTTCACCTTATGGGAGCTTTCACCTTATCCATAACTTCTTTATTTTTAAATTGACTTTATGTCAAAGAATCATCTGAAAATAGGTCATTCATTTTATTAGGGGCAAATTTTTTTTTATATTAATTTGCAGAAAAAATCATCGCCAATCTCTGAATTAGGAATTTTGGTGGGTAACGAATCTGATGCCTCTTAGAGTCCCCTCCCCATGGCAATGACGCGTAGGTCTCCTCGGTGATAAAATGGATATCGACTAAATATTCCGAATGTGACTCCTGTTTGCCTGTAATAATTTGAATGCCTCTATTGCATCGTGCCCCCCCCCCCGAGTTAGAGGGCCTCATAAGAGGGATGATATTTAAAACAACTAAAGCGGGGAAAACCCGTTATTTTACTGTATAAAATATCAGAAACATTGTAGGTCGTCACGAATCTAAAAATGATTTTTTTCTTGAAGGGATATTCTCGAAAAAAAAATCTATACTCAAAAACTAACCCGTCTGATTTACTAAACATGATTATAATATCGTTTTCAAATTGAGTAGCAGCGTTTAGTGTTATTTTTCTCAAAAAAAACGTCTACCTTTTGCCCAAACATTTTTGCGTTTTAACACAAAATTACCTCTTCAATTTATATAAACATCATAATGTTTTATTTATATTTTTTTACATTATTTCCAATTTTGTTCTTTAAACTATTTTTGATTTAGTTTAAAAAAACATATCAAAAAATTATGCCCTTTGACCCATGATTTATTGAAATGTTATAAATATATATTTTTTTTATTTCTTATCGATTAGAGATAATTTGCACAAATTTATAATATTTATTATTTTTCTGTAAAGGATTTTATTTTATTATATTTTATAAATAATTTATTTTATAAGTTCATCTTTATAGTTTATAACTTTATAGATACCATATTACCATTAAATTTTATTTTTATTACACTACTAATAATACTCGATAATAATCTCATTAAAAAAATTTTATTATGCAAGCAAAGTCTTTATCTTTTTAATGTCTTAATTTACAAAATAAAAAATTGAGCTATCTATTACACAACTCTATACTTTGTATTATATTATAATTATTATATAGAATCCGGGGTTATAACGAGCCCAAAATTTAAATCTCAATAAAAATTAAAATTTGCTCGTCCTGATAAAAAACACATTTTATAGTTTTTTGGAATTGGTCTGAAATTTTTTTTTTTTCAATCTCGAAAGTAGCGATAATAAACTCTCACTTAATTAAAATCTTATTTAAATCATTTTTAGACCTTTTTTAATTAAATTAATATAAAAATAGATTTTATTTATAGTACACAAATCTACAAAATTAGTTTATTTTAGCTTAAATAAAAGAACAAAAATGTTTGCGGAACCCAATTTTTGCCCCCTTCCAAATGTTCAGACGACAATTTTTTTTTTAAAATGGTTTTATAAATGAACTTTTAAAGTTTATAATTATGTACTTGATAATACTTGGTCTAAAGTCACAAATTATATACCCATTTGTATTTGTAACTTTGTGGCCCCTAAAAGAAATATTTATCGATTGGAATTTTTAATACCTAATTTATTATGTTAGTTTATAAATCAATTTAATCATCATGATACTTTCGGAAAAGGTATATAAAAATATTAATATGTTAATAATTCATCTTCATTTTTTTTAAAAAATATGAGAAGAATTAAATAATTTCTCTTGTTACACCTTCACAAAACGTTATATTTTCTTTTATTTAATTTTTTTTTATAAAAAGGATAAAAATTAAAAATTTAACGACCTAGATATTAATCCAATTTTATAATATAAAATACTAGGCAAGAATTAATTAAAATAAGAGAAAATTAAAATTAAAAAAAAAAAATCATGATAGTGTTGAGTTATTTATCCAAGATATTTTTACTATTTTCTTTTTCACAAGTGTATAAAGAAAGAAAGAAAGAAAGAAAGAAAGAAAGAAAGAAAGAAAGAAAGAAAGAAAGAAAGAAAGAAAGAAAGAAAGAAAGAAAGAAAGAAAGAAAGAAAGAAAGAAAGAAAGAAAGAAAGAAAGAAAGAAAGAAAGAAAGAAAGAAAGAAAGAAAGAAAGAAAGAAAGAAAGAAAGAAAGAAAGAAAGAAAGAAAGAAAGAAAGAAAGAAAGAAAGAAAGAAAGAAAGAAAGAAAGAAAGAAAGAAAGAAAGAAAGAAAGAAAGAAAGAAAGAAAGAAAGAAAGAAAGAAAGAAAGAAAGAAAGAAAGAAAGAAAGAAAGAAAGAAAGAAAGAAAGAAAGAAAGAAAGAAAGAAAGAAAGAAAGAAAGAAAGAGAGAGAGAAAGAGAAAAAGAAAGGAGATTGCAAAACAAAATGGAAGGTGAGGTAGAAAATGTACCAGATTAAAAAAATGTGATTTTAAACATAATATCGGATAACTACATTACTACACATAATAATGTCAAAAGAAAGAAAGAACCATATGCAACGCCTTTTTAGTAAAGTAAAGGGAATTTTTTTTTGAATTTATAGAAGACAAAACATTTTATAATTTTAGAAAATAACCTAATTAAGAAATTTATTTCATTTTACTTGAATTTTAATATTATACATTCTTTCCTCGTTATTAATTTATTACGCACATTAAAATATATGATATGGTTATTTGTCGGTATTTTTAAAAAAAAATTCAGATGCAAACCTAAAAGATTTTTTTCTACTTTTGATTCTAGCTAAAAATAATTTTGCACAAATCAGAGAACTTAAAAACGCAAACATCAGTTTGGAAGCATTGTGCAGAAAGGTAAAAATAAATATTATATAGAAATGGTTAAAATTAAATAGACGAATCGTTTGAAATTGATTATTTTTACCTCTGGGAAAACATTCCCTACTACATTGTTTGCTACAATTCCTAATATATTCTCCTCTGAGCTGAGACTCCTTCGTGATTATATGCTTTAAGTGATTATGGTTGAGGCTGATGCAATAAGTGGCATTATTAAAGTATTCAGTCAAGTCAGCCGTTAATCGGGTCGGATTGGAAACCGAGGATGGGATTGAGTTTAAAGTGCAAAATATGAATGGTTGACATATAAAAATGGAACTTTGCTCTTCCATTTATTTTTTATCGTAAAAAAATAATAAATTTATATAATTTTTGAAAAGGCGATTGAGCTAACTCATCGAATCGACTCATGGCTCATCGTGGCCGCTCAAATCTGAACCAATTTTTATTACTCCGGCTTGAATTAGAAATCGTAAAAACACACTTTTTATACAAGTAATACCGATAAGATATGATAGATGTTATATTGTATAGCCTCTAAAACATTACAAATTGTAACACATTAAATAAGGTATGTGAAAACAGAAATTATACGATAACTCACTCCAACTCAAAACTCTCAAGTGGGCAAAATTTTATATGCCAACGGAAAATTTTTTTTTTTAAAGAAAAGGATTAAATATGAATGACTTGTACAAACTTATTTAAAAAGATTAAAAATTAAATTATATATGTAAATGTCCCAGACATGCAGATTTTTATATAATTCAATTATAATATTAAGCTATTAGATATAGACTACGAAAATGATTTATCGAACAACAACCCATTATGGATATGATATGATTATACTATTAAATTTGTCATACATACAATCTCATTTTGTTATTTAATTTTATGTCATAATACATTCTCTCATTTTATTATTGCCCCTTTCTTACTTATACCATGTTAGTTAAATTAAAATTAAAATCAATATTTATATTAATGTTATATAGAAGAGAAGAACCATTTAAATATTTTAGAGCCCATATTAAATACTTATTGATATTTAAAATAGTAGATTATCATTTTACAAAAATCAAATTCATTTACAATGCCCTCTCTTTCACTTCTATAGTTTGTGAGAGATGATAATAATCAAACAAAAAAAAAGAGTTTGAAATATTTGATCAAAAAGAAAATACCGCTCGATCTATAGTGTGTAACTAACTGGTATTATTTTTCCATATTTCTTTTTTGTCTTTTTTTTTTTGGATATATTAAAAAATATTTATATTTTATAATATCGCGTCATTACAGAGAAGTCATTACAGAGAAGTCAATACAGGGAAGTCATTACAGAGAATGTATTTTAGAGAGAAACTTTTACATAGAAAACATTTATAGAGAATGTCGTTTATAGAGAATTATTTTATTTTTAATAACAAAAAAGGCAGTTATTTATTATAAATCATTTTAGTCTGTTACAAAGTGTTTATTTTATTTTAAAAAAAGAAGAGTTTTATAATATGTTGTTAAACGAACCACTCGCCGATTTTTAAAAATAGCTAACTGAGCAACCCTGAAGATTTTGCTTCATAGATGCCAGAAGGGTTTTGGCATGATCAGCGAAATCCCGAGGTTATATTATGATTTTGGATGAAATCTTGATTGCTCTATTTTTCAAAATCGAGCCATTTTAACAACACCTTAATACATCTATATACTAACTAAGAGGTTTTTAAATTCTATAACATACCTATTTTAGGTAATATTCTATAACATTTTATAATCTTTTTTTTTTTTTAATAATCTTGCGGATTTCAAATCATATCAAATATGTTTTTTTTTAAAATTAATTTTATATAATTATACAAATTTCCTCTCTATTTTATATTTACTAATCATTCATTTAATTTCTTTTATAAAATTAAGTTTTGCCCAGTGTCTTCTTTGCCCAAATATTTTTTATCCGACTACTAATAATATTAAGCGGTTTTTATTTTTTATCGAGTCAAAAAATGTTAACAGAAATTACTTTCGCCATTTACAAATTATCACCATTATTTGGGCTTCGATTTTGATCAACGCTTGTCACATTAATAATGATGTATTTATAGTAAGCGCGATTGGCTCAAAAGATGAAATTATAATCAAGACAATAGGTATATTATAAATACTGAGCAAAAATAATGAAATCACGGGAAAAACATACGTTACGGATGCAATGATATGCAATTAGCCCTGATTTTGCTAGCTTTTGTATCGCTTGAGGATATCACGTTTACTATAAATGCAGATTAATATAGTAATCCAGCTCATCGTTCTTAGCCATAACTTTAATTGGCCCATTGATTTACGGACTAGTTTGTTTAAAATAAACAATTTGATTAATTACCTGAAAAATTGTTTATCCGATAATTTTCTCTTCGAACAAATTTAACAATTGTTTATATACGATTTTAAATAGGCTTATCTTATTTCACTATCACTACCCACATGCATATTACCAATTATGAAATTAAATTTAAAAAAAAAACAAACAAGTTTTTGGTTTCTTGATAATCATTTGGAAAAAAAGTTTTTTTTCTTTTCTTTTCTTTTCTTTTCTTTTCTTTTCTTTTCTTTTCTTTTCTTTTCTTTTCTTTTCTTTTCTTTTCTTTTCTTTTCTTTTCTTTTCTTTTCTTTTCTTTTCTTTTCTTTTCTTTTCTTTTCTTTTCTTTTCTTTTCTTTTCTTTTCTTTTCTTTTCTTTTCTTTTCTTTTCTTTTCTTTTCTTTTCTTTTCTTTTCTTTTCTTTTCTTTTCTTTTCTTTTCTTTTCTTTTCTTTTCTTTTCTTTTCTTTTCTTTTCTTTTCTTTTCTTTTCTTTTCTTTTCTTTTCTTTTCTTTTCTTTTCTTTTCTTTTCTTTTCTTTTCTTTTCTTTTCTTCTTCTTATTCTTAATATTTATATTAATATTTTTTCTAAATTTATAAGGATATTGATAGGCGCTCCTAGGGCTGAAACGCGGCAACCTGGCGTTACGAAAGGGGGAACTGTTTTTAGATGCATAGCTGGCATCTCCGATTCCTGTCTAGAAGTCATCTTTGACACGATGGGTAAAATAATTTAGAAAGAGCTTATTTTATATTTAAAAAAAAACAGGACTGGACTTATTTTATATAACATATTATTTGTTTTTAAAAATTCCTACAAACTACGACATGAACATGATCATTTTAATTTTCTCTCCAAATCTTTGGAATTCGCTATAAAAATAAACATTCATTGTTTTTTTGGGTCCTTTGCCACTTTATTGCGTTCAAGCCATATTAGAAATCGTTTATTTATTTATGCAAGTAAGATAGTTTGTGATAATTGAAATTCTTACCAAAAATTTAATAGTAAAGAATAAAACTTATTTATAGTTTAATGTTCATAGGTTAGAAAATCTGTTTTTATAGCTTATTTAGAAAAAAAACTTAAATCAATCTATATCGCTCGTTTTTTAAAAAATTTAGACCCGATTTTCCCAATACCTTTCAAATTTTATACCCAATTATAAACTGTTGTTTGAACCACGTCTTAAATTTATATTAATTTTTTAAATATAAATTTCCCATAATAAATTTAAAAAATACATGAATATGGCAAAATGTGTTTAAAAAAATTCATAGAATAAACATTCTTAGGCTAGATTTATAGTGGGATTCTATCCAACACAATTTAACAGCTGAGCGATTTTTTCTTTATGAGATCAATTAAAAAAAAATTGATCTCACTATAAGATTTCTAAAATCGCTCATCTGTTAAATTGTGTCGGAATGGAATCTCACTATGAATTTACCATAAGATATGTTGTATTATGATTCTATCGAATGCTCTTTAAAAAATACATTTTGAAAATTGTATTGCCCCAAATTTACTAAAGTCATACACGACATTATTATATTCGACAAAATTCCTTATTACACCTCCAAAATCTTAATCGTGCTATTAAACTATGATCCTTTTTATTACACTAAATTTGTTATAAATTTTTAATTTCTAATTTGCTTTTATTAAAATGATATAATTTTTAGATTACAATAATAAAATATATCTAATATAACAAGTCATATATATGTTATAAATTATAATTAAAATATTTTTTATTATTATTATTTTGTAATTTGTCTGAACAACTTATATTTTTGTTTTTTATGTTTCATTCCATGGTTTTAAAACCATATCAAAACAAAGATTAATTAACTTTATATAATCCATTAGTTTTTCCGACACTTATACGCGAATAACTTAAAATTCTCGTTAACTAAAAATATTATATAACAATAAAACATTTGAAACTTGTAATTTAACAAAAAAAGCACAATTTTCTTATATAGGTCTTACTCTTAATCATTTATTTTTTTTAGTTAGCGTAAGGGCGCCTTTTTTTTATAAGGTAGGCGACTAGGTCCGATCAAGTCGGTGTAGCCCGTTTCTTCTTAAAACGCGGGAGAGAGGCTCGAGTATATGTCATAAAGAATATGCCCTTTATTTTAAATCTGGCTAAAATTTTATTCTATTTTACTATTTTGTGGCACAATGGCATAGGATAATAAAAATTCGAAACGTATAAATCAAATATTGGTCCCATGAAATTGGTGGAATGATTTGAAGCATGCATTCTTTAAATGTATGTCAATTATTATTTAGTGCTGCCCATTTGTATCAAAACAAAATATCAGCGGAATCATCTATTTATGAGCTATAAAGTCGACTGATACCGGTACCTAATTTTTAAGCTAAATCGAGCCGGACTGTATGTCAGAGATTCTAAAATATTTCCCAAACGGGACTCCGATTTCTTATTAATTCTACCACTAAACTCATACCCATATCTTATTTGAGCTATTTAAAATTGCGAAATTGGTCGATTTTGATAATTAATAAATATCATTAAAAATTATAAAACTTCTTATAATTTGAGAAACTGAAAATAGATGGGCATTATCCAAACATTATCTTTGATTTATGTTAGAAAATGACAAAAGATTATGAACATATGACAAATATTTGTTTTTACGGCTAATTTATATTTGATTAATTAATTAAAACTGTAATTTCTGCCTAAAACTGAATTTTTCTTAAAAAACATTTATAAGATATACCTTTTCAAAATCTTATGTAACACATAAAAATATTGCATATAAATATTTAGATAATCTTACCCTATATTATTATCAGAGACCTGGAGCTCGACCCGTTTTTTGGCTAGGCCTTGATTTTATTCCACTCGGGTTTTATATTCTCAGGCTCGCCCTGATCGTAATTATTTAAAAAAAATATTATATTTATTTTTAATTTTTATAGTTAATAATGGCGATTTAAAATATTTGATTTACAAATTTTCGGCCCGGCCCAGGTATATATTAAAAAAATTGAAATATGAGCCCGGCTTATCTACCCGGGCTGGGCTTAGGGCCCGGCCTGCAGGTCTGTGATTGTTATACAGTTATTTCTGACATGGGGTATTTAAGGTTCCCCAATTTGAATCCTTAATTTTTAAATAAAGCAATGGCAACATTTTTTATAGTAATATCTTTCAAATTATCGAAGTATAAATAAATATCATCAAAAAGTGAAAGTTCAATAGTATAAATCTCAGAATTTCAAATTATCGAAGTATAAATATATATCATCAAAAAGTGAAAGTTCAATAGTATAAATCTCAGAATAAAATATATAAGTTCAATATGAAATAACTTGGAAAAACAACCAAGTCGAAAAGTTGTAGAGTAAAATCTTTACGATTTACCAAATACTTTTCTCACCACTGAAGATGCCATCACGTACGAACCGATAGGAATCAAATATCTGGATGAGGGTTCATGATATAACGTTGTCGGTTTACGAATATTCCTCTTAATATTGGCCAACAAAATGTCCCGAGGAGTTGCACAGAATGCATTTTTTATTTTTGATGTCATGGCTTCTTATCGATCCCAAGGAAGAATTAGGAAAATTATCTAACATCTACATTTCAGTAGTCTTTAGGTATCTATCAGGGTGAGCTAAAGATTGAATTCACCAAAATACAATAGTTGAGAAATTGGCATCATTTAGTCAAAATGGTTATATTTAATTAATTAAATACGAAAAAATATTTTTGGGGAAAAATAATATTTGTGGACAAAAGAATAACATATTATTTTACTCTCAAATTTTCTTAAAGGATAACTTTTATTCCACACAAGTGCTGAATCCAGTAAATAAAGAGGAATAAATATGCCGTTATTACAGTAATAATATGATTTATTGTAACACATTTACATTTCCATATATGTTTAAAAACATTTTTATATGATGTATAGTTTATTCATTTTTAACATATTAATCAAACGAAAAAAAATAACAAAGAAGAGGGGATAAACCTGTGCCACGTCTTTGATTTTAAATTCATTAAATTACCAGTTCTCCTTGACCAGTATTGATGTATAAAAAATGGTTAATAATTTACCCATATCATAGGCATGAAATGTAGTTCTTCCTTCTTCCATTAAATACAAAAGAAAGAGTCACGTATTCAAGAATTTTTTACGGAAGGTTGGGGGGGGGGGTATATTTTTTTGAACATTGAAAATTGATTAGAACTTAAAATTTATTAGAAATATTTTAAAAAAATGGCAATTTTGAATGCAAAATAATACAATATTGGAATATACAAAATGCGATTATAATGTTGTAAAAAAATATTATAGCTTTGTTATATGTAAATTAGAAATTAAAATAAAATAAAATATAGAATTAAACATTATATATGGTGATTTAAAAAGTTAATTAAAATATCGTTTTCATAAATGGAATTTTACCTTCTTTAAGCGCCAATTTTTCAATAAGTTGTTCACTATTGTGGATTGAATCTCAATGTATATCAAGTAGAACTAGTCTACTCAATGATTTTCTGATGCCCTTCTTCCGAGATAGGCTTTTATTCTCCTTAATAAAGACCTCTCATTTACTTATACTAATTGATATTGTTGCCAAAATATACAGTAATTTTAATATATTTGGAAAACAATAAAATATATTTTAAAATCTACAATTCCATCACGTTTCTTGGAGGATCATCTACTAACACTAATCTTTCATATCAAGATTAAAATTCTTAAATTAATTAGCTATTATTTTCATTTATATCCTGAATAAATGATCTAAACAGTTCATTTTTTCTATTCAAGATAAAAATATTTTCAGAGATCAAAATCTTTGGAGATTTTTTTTTTCGCAAAGGATTTTATAAAACTCTGTGATATCAATTTTCTACTTTAATATTGGGAAGATTTGTTTGTCTAGTTAGTGTTTAAGGTTTAAAAAAATGTAAGAAAATATACCTAAAACTTTCGTGGAAAAAATATTAATACACAAGGAAGGAATATTCGAATTAATTAACTTTTCGCAAAAATTTGAGATAGGACATAATCTATTTGAAATAGAATATTTTGCAATTCACAATTCATGGAAACCTTTTATATATCTTCAAAAAATTTCATTACGGGAAAGGGGAAGCTCCCCTCCCAGATCCCCAGCTGGCTTCACGCCTGTTATTGCCTTTTAACTACAAGGTACTTAAGAGGCATCTGTTTTTAAAACGTATTGTACTTAGTGATCTGCATCGGGCCTATTTTTTCAAGCCCGGCCCTGCCCGTTAAAAATGTTTTGCCGGCCCGAACCCGAATTTTTTTTAAAAAAATTTAACCGGCCCTGCCCTATTTATTTAAATATAACAAAATAAAAGATATATGTTATGGCGTCTAGTTTTTATAAATAAAATTAATAATTTTTATTTTACATAAAAAATTTAACATATAATGATAAATTTAGATATATTTAAAAAACCCGACCTAGCCCGAATTTGCAGATCTCTATTTGTACTAACGTAATAGGGCATCTATTGTCTGGCGTAACACCTATTTTACATTGGGCCATGATAGATACTTTTCGGAACTCCTACTTTATGAAATTATATTATTTCTAAAAAAAACATTTTTAACAGTTTGTATTCCATAAGACACTATAATGCAACTACTTTTCCCGCATCTGTAATTGATAGCGGTGACGTGCCTTTTTCGTTCTGTTTTATACTTGACGCGATTTAATTTTTTACCCATATTTTCTAATATAGCATCTTTCTCCCACTTTTTAATTTTATCACCATATTATTGGGCCCATACTAACCGCCTTATCTGTTATACCAACTCTTTTTGCTCTTTCGACGGGTTTTCAATCCTGGCCCCCTACTTTTACAAATCGAATGGAACCCGGGTCCTTGGACACACAAAATTTTGGCGACTCAACTTTTGACAATGACAATCCCCTTCAGCTTGCCCATTAGAGTTAGCAGTATATGGCGAATGCGTCTGCGTCTCCTCTACTCAACTGTTTAAAACTTTCAAAAGTAAAATCTGTACCATCATTTGATACTATGGTTTCGGGAATCCCGAATTTTTCCCATAATTTCTGCAGTCTTTATGTTTAAAATATAATTGGTGGCCGCTTCTTCCATGATAAACTTATTTAAAAAAGGTTACTATTCTTATTTTTATATTAGATTTTTTCGAAATTATTTTTTAGGGTTATAAAACTTTTTTTTTTTTTTAAATGACGGCGCCATCATTCTAATAAAGAAATATTCTTTTTGATGCATCTAAAAAAAATGCTATTAAATTTCCTTAATCTAAAAAAATAATTAAATTTTTTCTCTTCTTTTTAATTTTTTTTTCTTCTTCTCTTTAACCTTATTTTCATATGTTTTAATTTAACGTTTATGTAATTTAAAACATTGCATGTTGCATGCATATTGCATTACTAAATCACTGCTTAATTTTGAAAGAATGTGAATAATTAAGCTGAGACTTGAGAATTAGATTATGATGATTTCATCAAAAAACTATTTTTTAAAAAATTACGGTAATCTCTTATACTATCTTTTACTAATTAATTTACTATTGCCTATAAATAAAATTCAGCTATTTACATTTTATTCATTTGCATTTTAAAAGTGTAACATGAAATGGAAAATAATAATTGTTAACTAGAAACTTTATCTCCTAAGGTCTGCCGTGTTATACCTAAGAGACAAAAGTAGACAACAAGGAAATAAAAGAAATCAATGTATATACTTACACTCTGAGGATGTTCAAAATATAGTAGAGTGGATATGTGATAAAGATATCCCATTTAAGGAGATAATGATGAAGGAAGACCACATAAGACTAGCGGATCACATAATAGATCATTTAAAATACATTCGCTTCTCATCAATTTTATATATATGCTGTACAAAATCATCTTATTCCAGTATAATAATGTAATATAGTTAACATTATCATCACTCTTATTAGTTTCATCAATTTCATTTTCAGACATATTTTAAATGAATATTCAAAATATATAAATTTCTATATTATAATTTCAAATTTAATGATAAAATAATTAAATAAAATGTGTATATTATAATTATATATTTAGTTTAAAAGTAGCGAAGCAGCATACATTTTAAAAATAATTAGTGCTTTAAAAAGCTACAAAAAAAGTAGCCTACAATGCCTTTTTTTTGTCCGGGGAATTTTCAGCCGGATCTTTAAATAATAATTGATCAAGTATATATATACAACACAAATCCATGGCACATATTAGATTTAGTATTTGCCCAACAATTTATTATTTAACCTTAAGTTGGCTCAGATATTTAAACGATTTATATCTCCTAGCACTCATCACCAATGATTTATTAAAACATCATGAAAATAAAAGGTAATTGGAAATTTTTAACTTAATTTATTTTATCATTGAAAATAATTATTTGAAGCATTGTGATTAGAGCCAAAATCACATGTTAAAGATTCACAAAATTTTAAAATGTTCATTAGCGCTCTTCGTAATATATGTTAAAATTTATTTTTCCACCCCCTCTTTAAAATCTAGGATCACGCGTAGCTTATAACATTAACGCAATGCAACAAAGACAAAGCGACGATAAATCAAATCAATGGTTTGGCCATACTATATCTGTTTCCGGTCAAGACGGCGCAACAATTATGGTATTTTTATTTATTTTGCCAATTACTTACATAAGATAATTTATAAATAAAATATTTCCTGGAATGTTAGAGAGACATCTGACACCCCTTCAGTTCTTATAATTTTTCATTTGTTGTGTATAGTTAGACCCGTGCGCCATTCTCCGCCACTAATGATTTTTAATCAAGCTAACGCCGCTAACACCCCCATAAAAATTAATTGTAGTAACCAAAATCAGGGACCTAACCCACGGGTCGGCTTTTACAGGCCTCTAATCTCCGGTTCGAAAAAATAAATGATTACGCTGCTGCGTATATTATGTGTTTTGGTTCGCTTTACTTCTAAGGAGTCTTCTGCTTATCCTTCTATATAGCTTTCTCTAAACAGTCTAAAAAGAAAGAGGCTATTTAGATTTACCGTATATTCTTTTTATTTTACTGTAAAAAAATATATAACTAATAGTATTTATTTTAATGTACACTTAAGCAGAAATAAGTTTAAAAATAAGCCAAACCAAAACACGGCCATAAAACCGTAAAGAAAACTAAGAGATTGCTACAATTATGAATTTATAATTAATTTTATCCATATATAAGACCTCTTATAAACTTTAATTAAAACAAAAATTTAGAGGGTAATATTGACGAATTAAAATCACTTAATTATTTAAAAAAAAATTACACACGATCAGGCATGCGCTCCTCGATACGTATACTATTCTCAGAATTTTTTGAGGCGGGAACCTGTCGGAACCTGTTTCATATCGAACGATCACTTGAGATCCTTTCAGGAACACTCTCCGTGCAGAACCCGTATATTATGAATAAATTTTTAAAAGTTTAATTTTGTATTTTAAAAAAAATCGAGAATGACCATTTTCTCCATACTGACTATCTCACAAACTAAAGTTTTGGACTCTTTATCCCGAACGCATACCTAATGTGGACCCGAAAATATATAGGTTTACTAACCCTGAACCCAAATTCGATTTTTTTGAGGAAAATTCCAACCCTATCGTGAACCGAAAAACAGAACTCGAACAGGCATTATTGAGATTTCACGATTTATTTCATTTTGTCAGCAGAGTATTATTGTGTTCTATATCCATTTTTTAGAATATTTTTTCAGGAGAGCATTAAAAATTTTTTTTTGTATTTTAGATAGGAAATCACTTCAGAATTAATGATATTTATACATTTTTATTGGTGATATGGTAGAATACGCTAAGGATTGATTTATTTAAAAAAAAATCCATTTTTGAATATTATAATATACTCAAGCGAGGATTTATTTAATTCACACAAATATTTAATTAATAATATGCAAGTAAATTGGGGTTATCATCGTCAAGGCCATTGTCAAGCAGGTTTTAGCGGAACTTTAGCCAAGGTATAATATAAATAATCTTGAAATAAGGAAAGAAGAAAAGAAGAATAATTTTTCTTATAATTATATTATTTATTAAGAGGCGGGCATCTTTTATTTATAAGTACTAAGGGTTAAGAGAAATAATTTATTATAAATATATATAATTTTTAGGGGTTTAGCAAATGCAGAGCTATTTTCAAGATCCAGATTTTTTTTAGCCAGAATTGTATTTCAGCATGTATATAGAATTTCACGACAAAAATGTATGATATTCACAGGGTAGATACTGTTGGATAAAATTCCGGCATAATTAGATCTTTCAAAAATTGAAAAAGACCTCTTTAAATTATTTAATTTTCTAAAGCCCACATTCGCTAAAACGACTATGATATATAATGTCCGAATTATTTAGAATAAAATAGTTGTAAAATAAAAATTTAATTCAAAACTCAAATGCGAAATATTATATATTTTATAATATATTTAGAATAGCACGAGGGCCTTTATTGGTGCTGTAGGTAGCTGGTATTGGCAAGGTATGTTCATGATTTTTTATTAAAGAAAGAAGGGGAAAAGAGAATGATCGAAAGAAGGAAAGAAAAGAAAGATATATAGGCTTATCATATGTAATTTTTTAATATATTAATTATTTATTAGTATAAATAATTTTTGGTATATTTTTATCAAGGTCAAATGTTTGTACAAAATATAACTTCCGGATTAAATCTGATAAGTTCTAAAGAAAGTCCGCCATCTTTCGACGATTCATACCTGGGTTACTTAAACTAAACTATTTTATTAAATAAAATTTTATTATAACTTTTCCATATTTATTTAGAGTTTTTAACGATACATTTAAAACGAAACGAGAATAAAATGTATTTTGAAAATGAAAAGATGCAGGTTAAGATTAGAATAATATTTATAAATATATATAAAGGAATGTTAAAAGATACACTTTGTCTGGGTGCTTAACTCGCCTTTATTAATAATATTCAAATATTTTGAAATATTTTATTTCATGTTTTGAGTTAATTCAAAAGTAATCCAAAATAACCCTGCATTTACAGTTAGCGCGAAATCTCGGCGGAGAATACAAAAATTACATTTTGTATGATAACCACGAATTCGCGATAACTATGAATGCAGGGTAACGCGTTCTAGTTATTATTGACGTTAATTTTGCAGCGCAAGCTTAAAAATAATAAAAAAGAGTCTTTTAATGATAATTTAAATAACCTTAAAATTATTCATTATATCAATTAGGATATACCGTGGTGTCAGGGGAATTTGATGGGCTACGAGGCGAAGGTAATAAAGCTTATAATTTGCCAAAATTTCTAAAATTCTAGTTTGCTCCCATTTATTATAGATATCGCTGTCGGGGTTCCTAGGGGCAAAAATTTGTCTGGAAAGGTGATTCTGTTTGACCGAAATTTGAATATAATAAAAGAACTTAGTGCGGAGATGGCCTCGAAATCTAAAGGCGATGATTTTGATCAAGTGAATAAATTAATTTAAACTTTTTTATAAAAATTTATAAGATAAATATGATAATATTTTTATTTAGGGGCGGGAATTTATCCAAGGTGGAACGAGTAGGGGGGAGGGTGTTCGCTATATATATATGAGTTAAATGTGAGCATGGACAATAAATAATTAATAATGACATGTATATCATAAAATTTTAAATCACAAATCAATCATGGCAGATAGGCGCTTATTTCGGGTATTCCTTGACTGTGGTCGATGTTGATGGCAATAAGTAAACTTAAAAGAATATTTATATTTATTAAAGAAAGTATTTTATAAAAAGGAGAAGGAAGGGAGGAAGGAAAGAAAGAATAATAAATTAAGAAAGAATATAACATCCTATTTCAAGTTCATGATAAAAAAATATATATTGATAACATTTTTTTTTAAGAATGGATGACATAGTGGTAGGAACTCCGTTTTACAATGATTTTAAAAACACCAAACCTTCATCTTACGAAACTGGACGAGTATACGTTTTTTACCAAGGACCAAAAGTAATAAATGATATGATAGTCTCATAATGACATGATATTAATGCCACTTGTATAAATGATATATATAAAAAAAATAATTGCCCTTCTGGAATATCTATTTTAGACAATTTCTCGAATAATTTTTATTAAAATTCAAAAAATAAAATAAAAAGGTACTTATACTGCCTAAAAACTGCCTTCTTATATCTTATAATTAAATAAATAATTAATAATTCTCTAAAATAAAAATAACAGGACTCATCTTGAGTCTTATAATTCAAAGTTAAACAATTCAAACAAGCACGCCGATGTTATCAAACCATATTATTGCGCGTAATAAAAATATAATGTAAAAAAAGATATATACAACATAAACAAAAACCACCAATCATGACATTACACTAATCGAATAATTTTTAAAACGATTATACATATGATTACACAGATGTCCTTGGATTTAGTTGTCTTTGATAAAATCACTTATATACCTTTTTTTTTCATTGGAAGCTAAAAATGTATAAATTATCTCATTATATTAAATAAATGCTTTAAATAATTATTTTTATCCTATCATTTCAGAATTATAATAAAATTAAAAGAGGGGACACGATTCAGTAAAAAAAATGACCACATTAAATCTAATGGGATAGTGGTATTTCTAGAAAATCCATCTTTTATTTGAATTGTTTGGGTATCATTTCAAGCATTTTTTTGAATAATTACATCGGGATTTGATACGAGTAGAATTAATTGATATTTAGAGAAGAGAGCCCATTTGAGATAAAAATAATATAATTTTCCTTTTCCACTTTTATTTCAAAAAAAGAAGTGTTAAATTTCAAAGACAATTTTCTGGGATTATATTAGTAGTAAAAGGCTAAGGAAAAATTTATTTATGGCATAGTAAATTTTTAAAGAAATACTCCCTCCGCAGCTTATCCAATTAAAAGAGATTATTTATGACAAGTAAAACATGTTTTGCCTATTTGTCGAAATCCGATGGTTTTTAGATAATAGAATAAATGTCTTGGAATGGCGTCTTAATTTAATCCCGAACGCGACCTCAACTTAATGTAGTTGCTAAATCATCGCCTTTATACTGGAACAAAGACACATTTGCAAAATAAATATCTGGAATCACCACAGACTAATCAACACTTAATTACATTTCATTTATAATAATAACCCCATAAATAGGGTTGTTACCGATACCACTTTTTGGAGACCAATCCTCGATATTAACAATGTTAAATGGATATTAGCTGATTACCGATTCTAAACGATATCATATCTGATTTTGTATTCTGGAAACATACTAATCTTTTTAATATATGCATACATCTAATATTGGAAAATCATTGCATTTGGATCTATTTAAAAAGGCCAACTAAGTTAAGCAAGCTTGGAGATTTTGCTCATATATGACACAAAGGTTTGAACATCTATTAGGGAAATCTCGACGCTTAGGCAATATTTTTCTGGTTTAAATATTGAGTTAGCCGTTCTTAAAACGCTCAAATGGACAAATATGAACTACATCTACTCATCTCATATTTAATAGTATAGCATCTAAAATTTAATTATACCATAGCATAAGTTATTTAAATATATTATAATGATCAGTTATCGTTTATATTCATTAATTTGAAAGTACATAAAATATTTTTGTTGATTAATTACTTATTTATATCATAACATTAATCTATTTACATAATAAGTAACAAATATATTATGAAATTTCAAATAAATTTTTTAATAATTAAGGCGCCATTTTATCGGATCAGAAAATTTTGAGATATTGACCGATAACCGATGTTTTAAATAAGATGAAATATCGGCCCGATCCGATAAAAATATCGGTACATCCCTATTCATAGTGATGCAACTTAAATTGATGGGGGTTTTTTTTATTTAATAATGGCACACTTTTTAAATATTTTTATAATTATTAAAAAAACATCAAATAAATAAATTTATTTTCATTTCAAAATATAATAATATAAATAAAAAATATTAAATCATATCATGTTTATTTGTTGATAATAATAAAATATTTACATTAAATATAAATAAAATAAATTATTTTACTAAAATAAATAAATAATAATTAATACTAAGCATCGATGCAGAATTTTGACTAATTTAATTTTAGCAGATATATATAGGCTTAGCCAATTTTTAGGCTTAACCTAATTAGGCTTAGCCGATTTTTAGTTTTAGCCGATTTTTAGGCTTACCTAATTAGGCTTAGCCGATTATTAGGCTTAGCCTAATAGGCTTATCCGATTTTTAGGCTTAGCCTAATTAGGCTTAGCCGATTTTTAGGCTTAGCCTTATTAGGCTTAGGCGTAGTTTTTAGCCGATTACGCAACACTAATTATATAATATAAAAATCTAAAAAAAATATAGCTTCTTAATGCGTGTTTATTTTATTGTGCGCCACAAAAATTTAAGTTGCTCGTTTTATTAAATATTGGATTAGGATAACTTCAATATCAATTTACACAGTCATATTTTCTATTAACAAATTATTCCGATTTGATATGCATATATTAATATCGTAATATTGGACATAGGATTATAGATTTCATGATAATTTAATACATTTTTTAGCAGTGGACAAATTAGTTTTAAGTTTCAAAATAAAAATTATTATAACTAACGTTATACGGTTATGTTATCACAACGTGCATAATGGTTTTTCAGGAGACCAGAAATTTAATACGTGAAGAATAAGAAAAACTGTAAAACTATTAATGAAAAATGTAAATTATTTTTTTAGGGCAAATTTATCAAAACATCGGTTTTGGAGGGTCAAAAGCCAAGAGGTCGTTTTGGAATTTCAGTGGCGTCTTTGGGCGATATCAATTTAGATGGTTATCAAGGTTCATACCGAGTTTTTATTTAAAAACATAATCTAATGATTTACTTATTTATAAACTTTACAACATGATAGAGGACAAGAGAAAGAAAGAAAAAATAAATAAAAAAAGAATTTAAAAAAATATTTTCAACTGAATTTTCTTTAAATTAAAATTTTAGACATAGTAGTAGGAGCCCCTTACGATGGTCCTAAAGGAAAGGGTGCGATATACATTTACAATGGAGGAAGGAAAGGCATCGAAGAAAAATTTAGCCAAGTAGGGTATTTCTTATTATTTATTTTGTGTGGAAAATTTTTAAATTAATATTCAATGTCAAGTATTTAGGTATTATTTTTAAATATTATTTGTCCATTTTAACTAAATACGCTCAAATCCAGGAATTTTGAACATTCTTATACGTGATTGATATTGAAATTAGCTTGGTTAGATTACATTAGTTATGTTAGGATATAAATGAAGCCCAATCACCTGATTACATTTGTAATTTCCTCTTTTTCATACCCCCAATCCCTTTTATGGGCATAATTTTTTTTAAACAGGTGATTATGGCCGATGACGTAAATCCATCGTTAATCACAATTCGGATGGTCACTTTATGGTGGAATCGATTTAGACCGTAACAGATATCCTGATTTGATAGTGGGCTCCTTCAATTCCGACAACGTTATATATTTGAGGTATATATATGTATTCAATGCATTACCGTTAGTTATTTATGGTTCCATTTTGGGAACACAATTTGTTAAATCTATTATACAATCTTTTAATTTTACACTTTTAAGTGATATTTTAAAAGTTTTTATTCACCGGATTTTATAAATAATTTTTGCAAATAATGTTTTAATTAGAAGAAAAAGAAATATGAATGTTTTTTGTTTACAAAATAATTTTTCAATGTTTTTATTTAAGCATAATATCTACATCTTTTAATTTAAAAATATAATATAATGTTCCCTCGCCGATTTTCCCCTAGTCTTAAATATATATATTTTTTTAAAATAATTGCCTTCAATGATTTGTAATACTCTGAATTCTATTTTATAATTCTTAACCATTTCTAACTTTAATTTGAAACCCCCCCCCCCCTTTTTTTTAAATTTTATCTTAAGCTTTTAAAAAAAATTTAATATATCAACATTTTGTTTACCTATTTTATGTGCCTATAAAATAAGACTAATTTTGCATTAAATAATCCAGAAATAAATTTTTTATTATATTATTAATGACTACTGGGAATAGAACTGTTTGGAAACTATTTATTTTAAAGAAAATAACTGTTTTCGACATGAAAATTATTATTTTATAGTTTATTGTTGATAATGATGGATATCAAATTTCGAAAATTGGAAATTTTTATATAAAATATGATATCGATATAAAGGTTTAAAAAAATTGAAAATAATTCTTTAAACAGATCAAGACCGATCATAACTGCTCATATAGATCTGAAATTGGAACCCGAAATCTTAAGCTTAGATGATCAAAGCTGTAGTCTTATAGATGGGACATTAGTTCCATGGTAATATAGATTTTATTATTTTTAATAAAATTTTTCTTAATAAATGTTTAGTTCCGTCCTTACTATATGCGTGAAATACGAAGGTATTGGATCTCCTCCGCAGTTAGGCAAGTATTGTATAAAATAAATTTCATGTATTTAAATGGCCAAATTATTTTACACGAAAATAATTTTTTTAAAAAAATATCCTAATCAGATCTCAAAATAGACACAAAACTAGATATGACAAAAACCTATGGTATGCGATCCTTTATGCTGTCAGATGAGGGTAATACTAAGGCTTCTGAGATAGTGAGATTGGTAGCCCAAACAAGTTGGTGCAAAAGTTCCTACATATATCTGAAGGTATTATATAGTATAGTGAATGCTCATTACATTTTTTTTTACAAATAATGAGACATAATTTAAAACGTACAAATAAAAAAATATAAAATAAATTATAACATAATATGTGAATATTAATAAATAATTAAAGTCGTATTTTATTTAGCGTGACATTCGTGACAAACTCTCCCCCATCACAATTCAAGTTACCACTTCCTTAATAGAACAAAACTTTGCCTATCAAACCCTCAAGCCCGTTCTGGATAGCTTGATACCATCGTTAGTTAAAAAATTGGTTAGTTACACAGGCATTTGCCGATTAAATTTTTTAAAAACAATAATAATGATGTTTTATATATATATAAAATAAACGTTATAATTTATAAATAATATCATTCAAGCTCCACATCCTCAAAGATTGTGGTTCAGACAATATATGCGACCCTAATCTTTCATTGATATCTGTTCGATCAGCTACTCAGACCTACAAAGTAGCGGGTCCAAATCCACCTACATCATCGCAAAATACGGTGAAACCCAAAGTAATTGGTTATAACAGTCTTGGTGGGCCGACGGATAAAACTCTAACTATTAGAATAACCGTTTTAAATCAGTTAGAAGATGCTTTCGAAGCTCAAGCAGTCATTTATGCACCTGTTGGTTTAGATTTTGTCAACGCTGATTTATTATCAGACCCAGGAAATGTATTACCTATCGGTGGGAGAATCTCCTGCGGAGTTAGGGAAATTCTTAAGGAAGATGGTATATGACTGTAAATTTTATGTTTTGAGTTATGACTTATTTAGAGGTTTACCATAACAATGCTTTTCTTCAATTGAGTTAACGTATAAAAAGTTTTGTAAGCTTAAAAGAACGATTTTTAAATTTGAAGAATATGATTTGACCTGCCAACAACATTGCATTGTCACTTTGAAAAACTAAAGTTATATTAATGATTATATAGGTTTTTCAAAATGGATTGAAGCACTACTGAAATTAACAGCTTGGGCACTCTATACCTGCTCGAATATATCATTCGGTCGAATTAGATTTTTAAAATTAAAAAAAAATGCCCTCAGAAAATGATATAAAAATTGAGAGATTTTATATCCCGTCACGACACATACTCAATAATTAGATATTTTTTTTTATGTCATCAAAAACACTTTTTTATATATATAAATTTGTTGCAGATAATTTATTTAACGATACTATGAATGAGGGAGGCCTTGATACGAAAAACAAATCTTTACACGAAGCTTTGCACAAACTATTAAAAACTCACATGTTAAAAGATTTCACTGAAAAAGAGGATTCAATTAAAATGACCAAAAATTTTGGGTCGGTTGTCATTTGCGATATAGGTTAAAAATTTATATATGATTATTATTACGCCTAGCCATATGTGGTCCCCATAAATTTGATTAGAAGACTTTATGTCCACTTATTGCAGGCCTTTGCTTACATTTTTTTTGAAAAATTTTAATTATAGTCATTATTTTAAAAAATTATTTACTTTTACTTTTTTTTAAAAAATTATTGTTTATAATGGCATATTTTATACATTTTTTTGTAGTAGAATTGGTAGGGGGAATTTTTATTAGCTCAAAACGATATTTACGAAAACAAACTAATTTCCGAAGTGAGAAAACATCCCCACACCCCCCCCCCCTCCTATTCGTTTCGCCTATGATCTATTCTTGTAATATAATTTTAACCATCCGTCTATCTTCCATCTTGATAAAAAATTGATGTTATAAAATTTAGGAATGGTTTGAATTGAATAATAATGTGATTTTATAAAATTTAAGAATTTCATGCGAATTTATATTTGTTCAATTGATTATCAAAAAGTAATTGAAAAAACTTAATATTTTTAATTTTTTTCATTATTTTACTTTTCATTATTTAATTTTTTTTATTTTTTTCACCCATTATAAATTATGTTAGGAAATCCCTTAACTCAAGGTGCGAAGTTAGAATTTGATATTCGATTTTATCCAACAAACATGGATTCTCTATTATCTAGACGAACTCACGATTTAAACTTTTTAATATTTCTCAATAGTACAAACGCTGAAGATGAGTCCACGCTGTCAGATAACGTTAAAACTCTAAGAATTCCAGTCGAAACTACATCTGACCTCGTTTTGTTCGGGTAGAGATAAAAGATATTTTGATGGTTACTCTATGCTCGGTCATCGTATAATATATTAAGATTTTTAAAAAGAAATCACAGTGGGATTAGGATTACCCACTGAGCGTATCGAGTCGAAAACATTATTTTCTTGTTTTTTGAAAAAGATATTGAAATATCTTCAATTTTATTTTGAAAAAATGAAACACACTGTTTCAAATAATTTTTTTTGATATAAAGAGCTCTTCCACTATTTCAATATAAATTTTTTTGTAAATTGCGGATTTATTTTTGTGAATCCAAGATTGGATATTTTTAATTATTAGCTTAATAATTAATATATTATAAACATATTAAAAATTTAGCGCATCTATTCCTGATCAGATTTTATTCCCTAGAGAACGGCACATAACCCCAGAACAATACGTAAATGAAACAAACGTTGGTCCTCAAGTAGTTCACGTATACGAAGTATGCTTTTAATTTTATCATATAAATAAATATTCATAGACCAATGTATTATTAAAATTACAATCGGTTATTATTAGAGGCATGCCGCATATCCTCCCACCTCCCAAAATTGTTTATAGATATCTCCACATATTTTGAGGGAAAAATTGGCTTCTACGTCTCTGGTCATTATAATTTTGACAGTCATCGTAGACTATTTTGTTATTTATTTTATATTATTTCTAAAAGATGAGGCTTAAATTTAGTTTTATGACTTATTTATATCCTTGATTGATTCCATATTATGAAATAGATAATCAACAAAGGCTACACTACTATACTAAAAGCAGATTTAACGATCCTATGGCCAAGTTATATCTTGAAAAAAAATGCTAGGTTATTCTATCTAATGGAAAAGCCTGTCATCGATCAAAGAATAAATAATAAGGATATGATGGATAAGGAAGTCGTTTGTCACGTTAGCAATCTTAACGATATTAACGCTCTGGGATTAAAAGTATATATTTTTTTTAAATGTTAGATAAGTTTGAAAATGAATGCAATTTCGGTTAAGTTGCTCATAAGATAGATAGGTATTCAAGCACCTTCAGGAGACTCATTTAGTTTCAAACGAAGCTATCCATTTTGCAGATGCTGAAACCTATAATTTTGGAGAGGAACATGACTAGAAATATTCAAAGGCCTGAATGAAATAGATCTAAATGGTTCTACTTTCTTTCTCGTGTCTCTTTATTTATACCCACTTACCAAAAATTAAAAAAAAATCTGAGTTATTTATTATATGTATTTAGCCTATAATCATGAAACATTGTTAATTAATATGAAAATTTGCAATGTATTACCATTGTTGGTTGTAGATATTCATAGTCGTTGATTAGTCTTCACCATTTTTCAAATAAATACAGATAGGTAATTCGCTATGAAATTGTCTGAAATTTCCTATGTAGGTATTCTATATACACGCTGGATTTCTATCAAATCAAATTTTAAAATTAAAAATCACCCTCAGTAAATGATTTAAAATTGAAAAATAAATTTTGAATCCCATGGATTCCATACCCTATTACGACATATATACTTAAGAGAGCTAAACTATGCTTCCATTTTAAATTTATTATAGGTAGACAGATCAGAACGTTGGAAAGCTATAGTAAATTCCACGCGAATAGTATCGAGTGGAAGTGGGTATTTGCTAAATTCATCTGATGACAATAACATGCCTAAAAATAAGCGAGGTGACAATCCAAACACGAATGCTTTAGTTAACTTGAAGTCCAAACGCTCGATTGATGGTAATAATTAACCTGTCGATTTTATCTAGAAGGGAGACCAAAGCTAGTCGGTGCAATTTTTCTCAAAATCATCATAGCTCCGAAAATAAGGATCGTATAAGATCAGGGCCGTAGCCAGGAATTTTCACTTAGGGGGGCCAAGTGCTTACTTGGGGGGGGGCACTATTTTTTTAAAATCAAACAAATAATTACGCATTCATAGAAATTTTTTCCTATTTTTATTAAAAATTTAATAACAAAATAATACTATAATATGAATATACAAAACAAAATAATACTATAATATGCATATACAAAACAAAATATTACTATAATAGAATACGGCGATTTTTATTTTTAAATTTTAATATAAATGAACTAAAAGATAAATTCTGCGTTATTCTTTTTTCATACGCCATTAATACTAAATTTTGCTTACGTTTATCCTTCATAGACTCTCTACTGCTCGATAAAACTCTTTAATGTAGAGAACGAGGCCTCACAAGAAGCCGTTGATATCCTAATGATTATCGCTGCTGAGTAGCATTTATATAATTCTTTAAATGCATAATTATATTTTTTTTATACATAATATGTAAGATATTTTCAAAATTATGATTCTTTAGCTTCCTAAGCTAGCAATCCTTTTGCTATCTTCATTTCATGATGCAGTGTTTCCATATTTAAGTTTAACAGGGATTTTAATGGGGCCATTTTATCTGATAAAAAATAATCAGGGTCAAGGGGGGACAATGTATTAAAAGATGAAAAAAGATTAAAATCATCTTCTGTAAATCGGTCTAAAAAACGATCCACAAAGTTATCTATAATTTCATAATATATCCTTTTTAAAGAACTTCAATTGGAGTCTTTTTCACAATCGAATTCTAGTTTGCTATCAACTAAAAAATCTTTAAAATTTTTAGGCGTTTTACGTACCCGTGAGGATTTTTGGGGAGTAAGATTAAATTTTGATAAAAGTTTTTCAGCCTTAATCATAATCAAAGCAAAAGAATTATCATTTCTTTTATTTTTTAATATATTGATAGTAGAATCAATACAATTTTTAGCATCCACTAGATTAGTACCTACTGATTGTAGATACTTATTTATTGGATCTATTGTAATTAATATCTCATAAATTATGATGGCTAATATGATGTAATTTATATTAATACATTGAGATAAAAGACCAGAGGCTTCGACTGAATCATGAATTGAAACCTCTGAATTAAGAGTTCTATTAGAAAAGTAAAATAATACTTCACCAATAGCCTCAAAATTCTCATAAATAATGCGAGATGTTTCCAAATGACCAGTCCACCTCTGGTCTAAAAGTCTCTTAAGGGTGTGGCCTGTATATTTACAGAATACGTTAAAACGCCTGAAAAAATTATACAATGCATTTGATAAATTAAAAAAATTAGAAATAATAACAATATTATTATACCAATTTTGAACCACAAGATGCAACTTGTGGTTGTAGCAATGTATAAAAGGAACATTTTTATTAATTTTTTTTTGAAGAAGTGTTTGCATTCCTCCATTTCGGCCATACATAACGTTTGCACCATCATATGCCTGGCTTATTATATTAGCTGAATTAATATTTAGATCATTAAGTTGCTTTAAAATGCAATCTGTAATGCTTTCAGCAGAAAGACACTCTAAATTAATGATTCCTTATTAAATTCTTGGATTTCTCCAGAAAAAATATAGCGAATTATTATGCTCAGGTTTTCACAACCTGAAGCATCTTTTGTCTCATCAGCCTTAAGACAAAAAAAATGCATCTCGCTTTTATTATATTTGTCTGAAATATGTTCAAGCACCATATCTGCCATAATGGATATTACTTCGTTTTGAATCTGTGGTGATGTATACTGGGCATTTTGGGGTATAAATTTCATAATTTTATTTAATTCAGGGTCTTTTTGGATGGTGTAGGAAAACATTGCTATAAATAGCCCAGAAGAATAAATTATGTTTTCATCTTTTGCAGCATCCGTAATATTTGTTGAACCAGTCCCACGGAAAGGTAGCTCTTGTATGCTAAGAAATAGCATCAAATCAAATATTGATTTAATATAATATTGATTACGATTAATTTGATCACCTCCCAACATTTTAGTTATTTCTGTACCTTTGTTTATATTTTGATTTTTATCATGCCATATTGTAATTGAATTTAAATGAGCTTTTGAGCTCTCGTGTTTTAGCAGTCCCTTCTTGGCAGCTAACGCATTTTTTCAATTTCTGAATCCCGTTTGTCCAAATTCATCACTTGGATTACACAAGTATTTCCTACATGGAAAACAAAAGGCAGCGTCAGCTTCTACTCTATACTCCAACCAGTCTCGGCCTCTATACCATGATTTTTGAAATGATCTTTGTCTTCCATGGATATCTTTTTTCGCGTAATTGTTTAATTTGATTTGATTTGATTTTTCTGGCCAAGGTCACCTGGGATTTGAATTGAACCATTAGAGGACTTTTTTGACACTAAAAATATTATAATTTATAAATTGTAATGAGGGAAAGGGTCATAAATAATAATGGTCATCAGGATGGGCGAAGGAAGGGCATGCTGAAAATGAACAAACACAAAATTTATCTTGTATTTAAGATACAAGTATTTGCTATACTGTATTGCCCTATCAGTAAAATTATAGATATTCAGTATTAAAAACAAGAAAAAGGTCCATAAACATTATATCTTTAAAGATTAACAAAAAAATATAATATTTTTATATTTATAAATCAATTACTAGTTGCCTCGTGACAATGAGAGACTGAGCTGCTAGATGAAGATGATTGAGTCTCTTCTTCGTCTTTATTTGTTTTAAAATCAAAATGTAATAATGAAACACCATAATCTCCTACTCCTATTGATATTGTCAAAAATATATAAATAGAAAAATTTGGGTTAAATTTTAAACTATTTACCATCTTGAGGATCATTTTCTAGATTATTAGCTTCATTCATATCTTGAAATATGAGTAAAAATGATAATATTAATAATAAATGTCTGTCTCTTATCTTATATAAAATAAATATATATGAAATAATAATATATAGGTATTGCCCTATATCAATATCATATAAGTCATGAAATAATAATATAAATTTATACTAACTATAAGAAGAATCAGTTTCTGAAATTTCTGATGTAGTATTACTAGTAGTTTGTAGAGGTGATGTTGCTTGACATTTGTTTAACTTTAACTTAAAATAAGAGTTAATAACTGATTGTTTCTTCATAATTTTAAAATAAACGCTGTAAAATAAAATAACTGGTTATATATTATGATATAAATGTGATACCTATAGAGAATGTTATACACAACAAAAACAAATGAAAAAAAAATGAATGATAATTTAATATTGGGTAAAAATAAAAATAAAACAGGATAGAAAAAATTTTACAAACTAGACATTGTAGAATAAATATTCAAAATTTATTTTAAAAATATAAAAATAATTAATTCTAAAAAGACAGTTTTTTGAATAAATATTCAAAATTTATATTAAAAATATAAAAATAATCAATTCTAAAAATTTTTTTTTTGGGGGGGGGGGGGGAGAAAATTTTTGGGGGCCAAAGATTTTTCCTGGGGGCCAGGGTTGGGGGCCAAATAATTTTTTTTGCCCCCCCCCTCCGTGGCTACGGCCCTGTATAAGATCTTGCAAAATACCAATCTATACCTTAAACACTTTACCTATAAATATACTCTGTTATATTTTTTTTAATTTTTAATAAATTTTTCTCCAAAAAAGTTTAGTAAAAGTGATTTTTTGAACTTAGTAGCCCCAAACCCGTGATTAGTCGGATCATCGATGGGGCTAGTCGAATCAAGTGGTTTATCGGGCATCCTATGAGATATTTTCTTCAGACTTATATGCTTTATTTATATAATATTATTTACAATTAACAAATACAATAGCAATCTTTTTTTGGTACAGGGCACATGTGCCCAATCTTTACTTAGTCTGCATTGAAACCAATCTTCAAAATTATGAAAATCTTATAGTCCTATTTACATATTATACAAACATCTTTTATTATTATTTTAACTTTTTGATTTTTTTATTCTGCTCTTTTAACAGCTGCTTCTTGAATGGGGATGAGATAAAAATCTCAGCTATAATTTTTTTTAATACCGTTTTAATAGATAAACCATAAAAAGTTTTACTTCATGAAATAAGATGTTCAGCCATTTTATTTTCCTACTCATCATCAAATATTTTTTTGTTTATTATCTTGACCTATCTTGGGCATACCGCTAGGTATTTTATATTTTTAAAATTTTATAGTAGGTTTACCTAATAAAATAAATAATAAATTCACTCAAAATCTACTTCTATATTTTTTATATAAGAATATTTTATCTTATTATCAGGCTAAAATAAATATATTGACAACTAAAATATTCACATCCCTCATTCCCTGGACTAATGGTCTCCCGCTCGCTTGGTATACCTGTATCAATTTTGCAGCAAAGTCCAACCTCTCATTTTCTACCATTGAAAAGGCTAAAATCTTAAAGAAAAACAATTATGCTGGCCTTACCAATTAGTGTTCATACAGATCGTTACCAATACCTTAGTCATGTTTGGAAGTGATGCCCTCAATTTCATTAAAATCTTAGGAAAAAAAATGAGACAGATCTCAGGGGACCCCAATGAAGGATTTTACCTTCGTCAGCAGATCTCCCTGGAAATCTGCAGGTCCAATTTTTAAGCATTTAATCTTCTCTAGGGTGATTTGTACCCTTTTTTTAATATATTTTTTTTCTAAATTTTTTTTATTCATATATATATTTTTAATTCATTTTAATATATGCTTATTTGTTTTTTTTAATATATATTTTTTTAATTATTTAATGTATATATTCTATTTTAAAATAAATAAAATGATTTGGTAATTTTAAAAAAATAATAATAATTTGAATCATATATATTGTCAATTATAAATCTTTGTTTGCTATATATAATTCATTTTAAATAATTGATCTTATTATCAGGCTAATATTTATATATGGTAAATAAATGTTCATATATATCAATCACAATATATATTTATATATATAATGTGAAGATTTTAGTTTGCAAGATATTTATTTTGGTCTGATATTATATTAAAATTGTAATGTATTATGAAAAATTACATTGATAAATTTATATAATAATCATTTTATATATTAAATTTATATAATAATATCATTTTATATATTGAATTTATAAAATATTATATTTTAACCTTAGATGTTACTTTTTTGATGACATATCATTTTCATACAATTTTATTGCTTCTTCGTGATCCTTTATGATGAAAGTTTTTCTATTTGGAATTTTTGTACATTTGAGTACCATAGTAATATTAAAATTAATTGATTGATTGCCCGATAAGCCACGATTCTATCAACCCCAATGGTGGTAATATTATTAATATTAACATATATTTAAGCCTTAATCAATTTGAAACTTTTCCAAATATTAAAATTGATAACTTACATTTGTCTATTTTGTCATGTTTAAACTTTTAATTTTTTTATTACAACCTAATAATGTAAAGTGAAAATGTTGTAATCTTCACGACAAAAACATGTCATAATAAATAAAAATTTAAATAGCTAAATAATATAAATTATTTTCTTCCCCAAATATGGATATCAAGAATTCCATTTTAGAACAAAATTTTAATTTATAATCGTTATTGGTTTGGTTTTAAAGTATAATCCGCTGAACCGACAAGCCCCTTGCGCCGACTAGCCCTGGTCTCCCCTATTAAGAATGGACCTACTTTCCAAGCCTAGGATTATAATTTAAAACTAAGTAGAATTAAACGAAGGCCAATCTAGATTTGCCCAACCTTATGGCCTTAAGAATCCATGTTTAAATAATTACGGGGGATGAAATATAATTGCTCATATAGTAATTCTTAATTTTTAACCTGCCAACTTAGGCTCGAAATTTTGATTGGAGGAAAATTGAGAAACAGATGTGAAATCTCAAATAAGATGCTTTCCTATAAGCTAAATAATATTAGCAAAACCATCTGGTCTCTTCGATGCGATTAGTCAAATTCAATTTATACGACTTTATTAAATAAAAGCATGCACTTAAGATTTTACTCTTCCCACAATCTTTACAATAATGAAGACATAAATCCCATCCTACTCTGTAACCTTTCGTCACCCTTAACTCATCCGATATTTATTAAACTAAGATTAGAACTAGGAATAACTTCAAACTATGTATGCCTCGACTTTTGTCCTATATATTCTAAAATTGGAATGACTCTTTACTAAATTATGAGGGCCATTGTAATCCTCGGCGAAGAGCTTAAGAGGAATAGAGATCTCCCCGAATATAGAATTAACACCTAAAGATCTAACTATATCAGCTATGTTGCCAATAACTCTTTAGTATTATATTATAAAGATGCAGACCATTATTAAATATTGTCATTAAATTATGAACTAAAGTAGTATACCCCCCCCCCCTAAAACATACTTATTATAGGTGAAGATAGACCTGGTATTAGGCATGTTACTGTAAACAAAGAAACATTCGTATTCGCAGATAATCTAAGAGCCGATAGTGATGTACATAAATATCGCCTTTATCCCACAGAAATCGTAATTTTCTCAAATCTGATTATTTTAATTTTTATATGCTATAATGAAGTTGTAAAATATATTATAATTATTACTTATGAAAAATATTCACTTTTATTAACTTTAAAACATCTACCATATATGGAGTAAAAGATCTATAACTTAATAAATATCTTCCTTTGCAAAAAAAGGTTTTTTTAAATATAGTTTTTCTAAAAAAAAAAGAAGATAACAATACTAATAAAGTTTAAAGGACACCAATTAATATTTTTTTTTATAACTTTATATATTGCCTTTAATTGCACTGCTATCTCAACCATATTGCTTTCTAAGGTATGCCACGAAAAAAACTGCACTATAATAAAATGTTCCCTGGGACCTTTCACTTCAGGTGAATCGATAGCAATTCGTATTCGGTCTAGAGTCTGGATTGACACTCTAATTAAAGTATAATATTGAAAATTTTTTTTATTAAGTTTATATATATATTTATAATTATCGAAGATTTCTGATAATAATTTTAATTAAGGTTCTAATAATTCTGGTTTCAAAATTCGCAAAAATAAAAAAACCTTCAGAAGTTTTTTAATTTTAATCAAATCATATGATAAAATTATTAAAAATAGCTTCTTTTTTTTTGTTGAAGTTACGTATTTTTGATATTTAGGACACTGCCTTACAATTTTGGAATCAATGAATAATTTAGAATCCGATAAATTTAATTAAGAGCATTTCATTTTAAAATTTTGAGCCTAGCCTTATTAAATTACAAGCCGCTGGGCTGGGCCAAATTTTTCGAAATAAATTATATCATTAAATAGTTGGAAAATTATATAATGGATTATACATTCGCTGCTCATATTTTCAATTTTCCCCTTGAAACAATTTACAAAATAAATCAAAAATTATTAAGTGACTGAATAATCCGGACCCAAGTCGACTTGATAGTCTGGAAAATGTTCAAATTTCGGCCTGCCTTAAAAATTCGACCACTTGCGGGACTATAATAAATATTATCAACTCTTTAATTAAATGTTTAATACTATAAAAAGGAACAATTAGAAGGAGCCGTGGTATCATCAAAAGGGATACTTAAAATTACTCAAGTTCCTTACACTATAGATATCGAATCGATTCCTTACAAAACGATACACGTATATAAATTTATTTTTATGAAAAATTCATAGGCTATGAGGTGTTTTCTATTAATTGGTCGTTTTTCTTATTCTTAAACCTTGAAAATATTTTTTTTAAAAAAACTTGTTTTTATCTGTGAAATTATAAAGGTCAGCACTTATTTAACGCCAGAAATAGGTCCGCCTGATACGAAAAGAATAGAACCATGGGTTTTAATTCTCGCAGTTACTGCCGGCATATCCATACTCGGTCTCATTGGATTGGGATTGTGGAAAGTATTTATATATAAATAAATTTTTTAAATAGCAAAATCAAATCTTTTATATTTATTTAATAGTCGGGATTTTTCTTGAGAAAACGACCCCCACCGATTCACAAAAAATTCACCGATGATTCATCAGAAAAATCTTAAAAAAATTCACAATGTAGAAGAGAAAAATAAAATTTATACAAGAAAAAAAACGATTTCGAATACCTTTGCAACTCAAAACATCCTCCTTTAATCAATTTTATACGAAACGACTATTTATCGCCCATTTGTAAACACTTGAACTATTTATTGTTGCTAATATTTTCGCGTTAGGCCATGTTGGCCTAGATTTTTTTAAAAAATATTTGCATTTAAGACTTGGCTAAACAAAGCAAAATGAGTGTGATTTCGTCTATCATCCCAAATATATAACATATGCCAAGCCTAAAAATTACATTAAATTCAATTCTATATTTCGTAAAATAGTGATCATTTCCCTTAGTTTGAGCCAGTTTTAGAAAAATGGATCTTTTATATCAAACAATATTCCGCCCTCCCCACTTTAGGAATTTTAAATGATTAGCTATTTTTTTATAAACAAAAATAATGTGATAATTTTAAATTTTGTTAAATGGCTCAAATCAATATTGTTAATTATTTTTTAGTCGTCACAAAACGAAATATTTTTTTATACGACTTTGCGAAATCCAATTAACGACTACTTAAAAAAAAGCCTTTAGAAATTATATTCTAAATTATTAAATCACACACAGACAGCGCAATTATAAAAAGGTCCCCAACAATTGTGTAAAAAAATACTTTATTTCTAAGATAATAACTTATATATAATATTATAGTATACATTTAATAAAATGATGTATTGTTGTAAATAATATTTATATTACAATGTAGATATAATTTATTATACAAATAAAGTTATAACGATTATTATAATTTATTATACAAATAAAGTTATACCGATTATTATAATGGCAATTTGTAAAAAAAAAATCATTTTTTCCCTCCTCTCTTTCTTCTCTCTAATTTAATTAAAAAGACTAAATGATTTTATATTTTAGTTTTTCGTCAGAAATTTAATGCAGATCGAATGATTCAAAATTTAAGTTTAGAAGCGAAATGAAGAAATACGAAAGTAAATGGGAAAAATGCCGCGAAAAAAGGACTAAAATAATTAAGTATATATTTATAAAAAAATGACGCGTTAGGACTCGATAATAATTTAGAAATGTTAGTTTATTTGCTAAATTATTTTACAAAAAAAAATGTCATATAAAATGTAGAATGAGTATATGTAAAGAAAATATGATAAGTTATAAAAAAACGTGATCCTGTTATGTAAAAAAAGAAGGAACAATACGATTGGTTGAAAAAAAAATAGCGCGAATATACTGAAATTTAAGTTCCTTTACCGGCTAAACTTTACTATCAGGGGATGGTGGTTTATTGCGAGAGTGACCGTTTATACCACTTTCACTATTTTTTGCTTTATCAACGTGATTTTTGTGATTATTAGTGGTAGATAGCTTTTCGTTATTGGCGACGATGTTGGAAGGTGAGTTAAATATCCGATCCAAGTCTATGGAGATATCCCTTGGAGGATTGTAAACGGGAGGTGCGCAATGTTTGGCGATTGGCATCACGGGCCGAGGAACCAAGATAGAAACTGACGATCCATCGTCAAGACCATTGTTAAATGCTTCGTTCACGATTCGGGCTTCATTCTTTCCGCAACAAGTTTTAGGAGCACAATCAAGGGCACCGTTGCAGAGCAGAAGACATCTTATTTAAAAAATATATAAATGTTAAGATAAGGATATAATTAAACATTGTACTTCTACTTCTATTTTTGTTAATTCATAAATAAATAATAAGAATGAAATATTTATGGCTTTGGTGGATGGGTGTAAATAGTGAGAAATTCAAATTATTTAGATAATAAAACATATATCTATCTGGCTTGTTTAGGCAAGTCCAATCAAAAAACCAACCGCCCTAAGATTTTGAAAGCGATCCAAACCAAACTTCAATTTTTAGACATAAAAATTTTGATTTTGTTCTAATATCTTAATTAAAAGGGGGTCTCAAAATTAATAGATTTATCCATCCTAATAATTATTATGTGAAATGGCATTTGAGTAAATTTAGAGTTCTTAATCTTCTAAAACAGAAAATATATTCCAACCTGACTTAGTCAGACCATTAGAGAAAGGGACGAGCACGTATAGAGATCTAATTTAGATTTCTAAAACGCGAATAGATTTGAAGTTGTTCATTATAATTTCAGGAGCATTTAATATAAGTTTTAATGTTAATAACGCAATTTATAACAGGGCCACCTCTTCAAAAATTGAAACCGATATAAAATTAATAGCATTAATTGAAGAATAATTGCATTGTATTTAGATATATGAATCGGTTTTGGACGATTTATAACTAAAAAAAATTAGTCGAGATAATATTAATAGTTATAAATAATGAATTGTAGTATTAAAATTAATAGCACAATTTTTAAGGGCATAAAAGCTTTAATCTTAAGAAGATAGATATAGTACGATATTAATACAAATATTTTTTATCATAAACAAGGGAATCTTTTCTTAAAAAAATTACCTATATAATTTCGTTTCGCTTGATAAGATAATCTAATAGGAAAAATGAATTTTCTTTATTTTTATACATACTATTAATTACATTGTAGTTTTAATTTAAATATCATTTTTATTTTTTATTTAGATAAAGTTAAATATAAAAAAATAATAATTTTTTTTTACGATTTTATTAACAAAGGCCATCGATTGATATCCTCATGAACGACTTAAAAAAACGTTAAAATATCACAACCTTTTTAATTTAATGACATTTTAACTGAAATCTTTGCCAAAAACTTTATTATTTTTCTTCTTATTTTTGATAAAGTAATTAAAATTATGGTAGTATATTCAAATGTAAAATTTATATCCTACCTTTACTAGGTATATTTCAAACATTATGGTAAAAATATTAGACTTTCCCAAGTGTTAGAAAATATCGAATTTCACACACAAAACAAAAAAATGGTTTGTTTTGGGATTTACAAGAAAAAAATTGCAATTTTTTAAAAAATATTCCGAAGTTCCTAAATTATTATAAACACAGACTAGCAAAAGCAATCAATGCTTTTAAAATGTGATGAGAATTTAACAAATATTATAATTTCAAACAAAAAAAAAGATTCATTCATTTGCAAAATCGTATACGTTTATATTATCAAGTGTAATCAAAATGGCGAACAGCTGACTTCAAAAAACCCCTATTTATAATTACTGCTTGATTGTTAATCTAGTGTTATGTATTTTATGTCTACCCATCTTTTAAAAATAAAATAGACAAATAAAAAAATATATTGGCCATCATTAGACCTAGCCATTTCAAAAAGTTAGTTTAAGAAAGTTAAGAAGAGGTGACTAGTGATCTGCATCGGGCCTAATTTTTCAAGCCCGGCCCGAAATTTTTTTTAGAAAAGTTTTGCCGGTCCGGCCCGAACCCGAATTTTTTTCTAAAAAAATTTACCGACCCAGCCCGGCCCGAATTTATTTAAATACAGAAATTAATCTTTATAATAACTCAAAATAAAAGACATATGTTATATGTCGTTTAGTTTCAATAAATAAAATCAAATATTTTTATTTTGCATAAAAAATCCAATATAAAATTAATAAATTTAGATATATATAAAAAAAATTCCAAGGTCCGACCCGACCCGGCCCGAATTTTTTTAAGGCCCGGCTCGAACCCGATTATTTAAAATAGAATTAGGCCCGAGTCCGGCCCGGCCTAACTGCAGATTTCTAGAGGTGACTATGCTAGACAAACGTTATCACAATTTGTGTAAAACTTCAGTCAAATGACAAATTTATTGATATATATTGTTTACGAGTTCACGATTTAAAAAAATTCACAAATTTCAATTTATACAAATTTTATTTAAAAGTGGCTTTCCTATGAAAATTAGTTTCGAGACCCCTGGCAATTCATATTCAAATTATGTTTGACCATTAATTTGGTTTGCAATAAATTGAATAGAAGAATGCTTTTCTCCTTATGATGTTAGGCTAAAATTAATTATGCTCTGATGCGGTGTTAGTGAAGAATTGAAAATGCAATTACAGTTTATTTTTTAGTTTGGTAGAATTCAAAAAAAAATTCACCCATTTTAGTTATCGGATAAACTGTTATTTTTGACTTATGCTGAAAGTAAAATAAATTAGTTAACAATTTTTACAAAATATGAATGAATTTTAGAGCTGATTTATTTTAATAAAATAAAATTGAAATTCCTTGGTTAAAAACAATTGACTATAAAATCTTATATATTTGACAGTTTTGCGGGATTTTATAATTATAAATACTATTTCATGGTGTCTTTTTTCCGCGGGACAGAGTTATTTAGCGGGACGGCTCAAATTCAAGTGAGATGCCTGAAAGGTCTATCCATCATCCCATAAAAAGATAACAATCTAAAATTATCGGTTAACTAACCTACTTTTATGTTTTTTTCATGATTTGTAATATTTTTAAAGCTTCGCGTCTTATTGCTTACATACTAACCAAAATTTATTCCTTTTAAATTTAGCTGTGCAAGAGAGTTGCAAAAGTAGGCCCGGCTCGAACGGGCTTCGGGCCTAATAATTTTTAAAACCTTGGAAATTTTTTAAAATATATCTAAATTTATCAATTTTATGTTGAATTTTTAATGTAAAATAAAAACATTTGATTTTAATTATAGAAACTAGGCGCTATATAACATATATCATTTATTTTGAGTAATTATAAAAATTAATTTCCATATTAAAATAAATTCGGGCAGGGCAGTTAAATTATTTTAAAATATATTTCGGGTTCGCGTGAAAAATTAGGCCCAATGCAGATCACTAGTGCAAATACATGGTGGCTACCAGCTGATTTCAGTATATTATTTTAAAATATTTTTGTAACATTAGGGATGAGGAAACCCTATCTGTTATAGATGACATTTTAATAAATTAAAATTATAAATAAAAATTTTCAAGTTTTAATTGAAAAAAAATATTAATAAATAAGATTAAAAATTATAAGCATCAATTGAACAATGCAAATTCTGGGGAAATTTTTGAAAGGATATAGACAAAACCCATTTTTTAAAAAAAAATGTAAGATATCCTACTTTTTGTAAATTATTAGTGTAAAATAAAATATATACTTTTCTTCTTCGCCGACGGCTTCCACGAACTCTGGCTGTATTGTGGTGCTGTGAATACCTTCCTTGTGGAAAAATTCTTTGACCTTCCCAGCAATTTTCATGTATTCACCGGGGTTTTTGCACCTTATGTGGGCAGTGGCTATAATTTGTGTGCCCGCCAACCTCCACACATGAAATTCGTGGACCGCTAGAACTCCGTCTATCTCCTTGATGAGCTTATGCTTGATCTCCTCCACCCTAATGTGAGACGGGGCCGTTTGAAGCAATATGAGTGCCGATTCTCTCAGCAGTGGAAGAGTGGTTGCAAGTATTATCATAACCAGCAAAAGACTCATTAGAGGGTCAACGTAAAAACGCCAATCGCCTTTGAAATAGTAAATGGAAAGGGCGCTAATTATGACGACTACGGAACCGAGGGCGTCGCCCAACACGTGGAGGAATACGCCACGCATATTTAAATGATGGGCCGATCCGGCATGTGAGTGAGCAGATGGGCGCGAGGGATGAACGTGGTCAGGTTTGGCAATTATAGAAACGGTCGTTGTTTTGGCGTTCTGAAGAGATGAAATACATGTAAATCTAGCAATACTAGATGAGAAGTATTTTTTGATAAATAAAAGGCGAGGATATGAAAAGATTGTGTGAGGTTTTTAAAAACAAAATTCTCAGAAAAGAGTTACAATAAGGAGAGGGCGGGGTAAAGTAGTGTAAGAAAATGAATGGAGTGAAAATGTCATAATAAATTTGAGAGATAGATATTTTAAGCGGATTACTATAGAAATAGGCTGGAAGACCGCGGGTGGGAAACTTATATAAAATATTTATCGGGCCAGGATGAGACCGAAAATTTGTAAGAAAAGCCTTCGCAGGTCGGTGCGGGTATGTTCATATTAAAAAAAAATTGATCAAAAAATAGAAACTTGTTTTAGCAGAGCAGGGTCTTTGTCTTTACCTAGCACCCCATTTTCCAGTCCGACTTTTTTATTGGCATCAACGTCAGTGTGTTCCTCTCCAACTCTCCTATATTTACTATCCAGTTTGTATTCTTGTTTTTCCTCCTCGTCCACGATCTCTTCGGCATCCAAGAGTTCGTCTTGCTTGGATTTTGGTCGTTTTATTTTATTTGGTTCGGTTTCGTTTCCGGTAATCGATTCCTCGTCATAGTCTTCGGCCGCGGCTTCGATGTATTTGGCCCCGCTTAGATTGAAGGAGCCTAATCTATATTGCACGAATAGAGGGGTTAATATTGTTAAATTTACGATTTTCTTAAGAATGAAGAGTTTCGACATTAACGACCCTAGAATCGAATATGAGATGAGTGGACATGCCATTTATATAAGAGGAATTATAATAGTTTTCTGAAATAATAAAATATGGGTGGCCATATTTCTAAATTTCATTAATTTTTTAAACGAAACCAATTTGATCTTATTCACGATTTTATAATTATATAGTATATATGAAGCCTGGGTTCATATAATGAGTCCAATCCGACATAATTTAACAGCTGACGATTGTAAAAATCTTATAATGAGATTAATTTTTTTTTATTAAAATAAATAAATAATTGTTAGATTATTATCAATTAGAATTAAAAAGTTAATAAAGAAAAATTGATCGATCATAACAGATTTTTAAAATCTATCAGCTATTAAATCGTGTCGGATAGGATCTCACTATGAATCCAGGTTAAGATTACGCGTAAACCGGATATAAAAAGGTCATTTTAAGAATCTAAAAATTTTTTGGAGCCCCTAGCCACTGGTTGTATGTAAAGTGAATAAATTCTGAACCTTTCTCTCGAGCCAATTCGATCGTTCTCCTCTACGTTAGACACGACAATTCCGCCTTTGGCTTCGTGTGAATCGCTCTCAGGATGAGAATGCCCGTGCCCACCGCCATGGGAATGCCCGTGAAACAAGCCCATCCCTATTAAGTTGACTACAAGCCCTATGCCACCGACAGCCAATAGTAGTTTGACGTTGTGAATCTTTTCTAATACTATCAAGCGTTTAATCGCCTCCACCAGGATAGAAAAGCACAGGGCCACCAAAAATACCGAATTGACGAGAGCACCCAATACCTCGGCCCGAACCCACCCGAAAGTATTTTTCTTGGTCCGCCGACGGGAAATGCGAATAGAGAAGAAAGCTATGAGGAGGGCCAGGACGTCGGAGAGCATGTGAAAGGAATCTGCCACGAGCGCCATTGAGTTTGTCGCGTACCCTACTACAATTTCCACGAAAAAGTAACCTACCGTAAGGGCAAGCATGGTAAGGAGTCGACAGGTTTTCCCGGAAAAGCGGCCCATTTTTTCTCACTTATGGATTGTGTATTTTGTAAAGGCGAGTGATTTTAAAATTTGGCTCTATTTTCGAACCTTTATGAAATAAATATAGAAAGATTCTAGTTTAACTATATATATCATAAAAATAGATTATTTTTGAATATAAATGCGACCAATTCTTTCCACAGGGGATGAATGTATTGGCATTCTAAAATTCGTGAAATTATTATCGAAATATTGGTATATATAGTGCATAAAATAAATAAAATCATTTTAAAAAAAGGCCTTCTCATGCCTAAATATACGAATTTATTCCGATTTTAAAAGTTTTAAATTTCCAGTCCCTCGATAAAAGTCAAGACCGGGTGATACTTGTAATTAGTCAAGAATAACAAGTAAGCCGTGATAGAGAGGAAAAATCAATTATAAAAATGACACCATTTTGATATTATAGATATTAGAAAATAAACTATCCAAAGTCCAAATGATAAAAATTATGGCTGGATAGGGATGGATTATAAAATTTAAGCAAAAATCGATAATCTGTTAGTATATTATTACAAAGTAACCATTGTTAAGCGGGATGCAATTTACCATAATTTTAAACGCATTTATATTTATGAAAGTAATAACGGTAATAACAACTCATTTAAATTTGTTATTTAATTATATTGTTATTTTAATATGATGTTGATTATCTCAACAATATAAAGTTACAATTCTAGGAGGAAAATTTTTTTTTAAATTATTACCCACTTTAGCTACCATTTATCCTATTTAATTAATTTACTATATCTAAAACCTTCAATTAGGACTTCAAAATACAAAAGATTTAGGATATAGGAGAGAGACCATTCTAATAATCAATCGAGAATTACGATACCTGAAAAAATATTATTTAATAGAAAAAAGTGGAATAAACTCTTAGACTTATAGAATAGAATGGATGGAGGTCGATAATTGTTTATAAAGTTTGTTTTCCATGTTGCAGATAGATGTGATAGCAAATAAAAAAAAACTAATTGGCATAGAGAAAATAAATTATAAATTATTTATATAATGGATGACTTAACCTTGATCTTCAAAACATGTTTTGCGGAAATTAATTATAATTATGTTAATGAAGCCGAATTCATGATTTCTTTTTAATTGCGGAAAACGGATTAAGATGAAAAAAAAAATCTTTTCTGATGTCATATTAGAGTCCATAATCTATGACTGATTTTTCTATAAAAAAAATTTGAATTATTTTTGTTTCGACATTTTGGCTACGGAAATATCACAATGTTAATATTTTCTTCCCATTAAGATTATTTTTATAATCATGGTGGAGAGGGGGGGGGAGTGATTAAAGATAGCAAACCAAAAATCCAGTGTTGCAAAAGAGTGTTTCCAAAAATTTGGATAATTAGAGCGTTTGCGAACATTAAATTTTTTTATCATCTGCTAAGGGACTTCTAGTGGTATTAATTCAGAATAATTTTATTTATAATTGATATTTAAAAAATACCAGGTATAATTTTATAATTATATATATTTTTAAATATGATTTAATGTTTTTCAAATTATCATAGCGTTATCATCATAATGCTCCATATTTATTGATTTATACCCAATTATTGGCTTTATTTTGTAATAACGCAACGCATGAAGATAACGCGTTTATTACCTATAGGATTCTTTTTTTTGTAAAACTATTTATTATATTTTGAAACGTTTCTAAGTATTTATAATATATTAGTTAAAACACTGTAAAATATACTCAATTAAATATTTCCACATATGAAAAAAATGAGTTTTAGATATCAAATATTGGTGCAATACTTTTCTTAGAAATCCTATTATTTATCCTTTTCGCTTTAAAAGGCTGGAAAATATAGGAGAAGAGAAGCGTGTTTTCGTATTGGGTAAAAAATAAATGCTATAAATATTTTAATGGGTAAAAAAAATTATCGGTAAATTTATTTAACGTAAAATGTTACTCCACGCAACAAAGATGACTTTTTATTTATGGGCAAGGTAATTATGTTTATATTTATTCGTATTTAATAAATATCCAAAAGGTGAGGAATGATGTCGGCTATATGTTGTAGAATTTTATAATATATATAAGATTGGAATCAGAGGTGCAACGATGCCACTTTTTACGCCCAATACCGAGGTGAATTATCGATCAGATACTAAATATACTCAATTTGCGGTAAGACGATAGCTTGATTGGTTTTGTTTATTTTTTTGCATTTTAAATCATTAATTGAGCGCGCTATTTTAAATTTAAAGATCTGATTTAGCCGGGAATGCATCAATAGGTGTATAATACTCAACCTATAAATTCCACAAAATATGGAAAAATTATAAATTAAGGTTTCTTCAAATGTTGGTCATAAAATTGTCCGAAATCTATATGGTAGATTACACATATTGGAATGCAATTCCGGAAAAATTCGATCTTTAAATTTAATAAAAAGCGTTCAATTAATGATTTAAATAACTAGTTCGTATGTCGAAAAAACCTATTGTGAACTTACCGAATTTGCTTTTCACTAGATTTTTAAATACTCATAATATGCAGCCCAGCCCGATTTTGTAATTTCAATGATTAACGATGGTCTTGTTAAACGGACAAATTTGAGCCAATTTTCAAAAACGGCTACCACCAAATTTTATTCAGAAAAATATTGTACAAGCTTTGAAGATTTTGCTCACGAATTGCGTAAGGTTTGGATATCTATTAACAAAATCTCGAGGCTAAGGTAATATTTTTATAGTTAAAATATTGTAGCCGTTTTTAAAAAGTGGCTCAAATTGAGCAGTTTAACAACAAATTAACGCTATTATCAATTAACCTTTTTAAAGCCAAAAGTGAGCAGATAATTATCGTTTGTTACGATCTGTTCTTTTAAAAATAAAAATATTCAATTCCCGTCATGAAAAATTCTGGTCATATTTTTCAATATGGCTTCTGGTCTTGATTTTGTTTCCTTGAAATATGGTACTTATGTTACAAGATCGGGGTGTTTTTAAAATAATAATTTTTAATATATATGCTTTTTGGTTTAATTTGCACATTAAGACATGATTAAGATTTAAATTTGATGTGGAAAGGGTCAGCAAAATTTTTAGAATGGGCAAGCAGATTTTTAATAAAAATCCAGATTAAACAAGTGGAAATTAGACATTTGTATAGAAAACACACTTATTGCAGACCTCAAATACAAATAAAATATAAATTAATAATGAGAAGAGAGGAAATGTGGCATTCAAAATGTAGCATTATATAATATGTAATAAATTAAATATAATATGGTTTGATAATAATAAAAATATTTATACTTTTAGTAAGGAATTTTTTAAAAATAAACAATTCAAACAAATTGTAACTTTAATTTCACTTATTATATTTAGAATAACTATTTGATTATCATTTAATATGTGGCCCATTCTTCAAAATACTGTAAAATCCTCATGGTCTATCACATTCAATTAAAAACAAATAGATAATATAAGGTCAATGATGTGTAATATATAATTCACTTAAACTTATTAAATAAGACAAGATGAATGTCTAACCAAAGCTAATGCATTATTGAAATAGCAAATATATAACAGAATAAACTAGAATATTTAAAAAAAAATATATATATAAAACTAAAATTGTAGGAAATTATATGAAAATATATACAAAAAAACCCTAAAAAATGTTCCATAGTGGAAATCATAGAATATTATAAAATTTCTAGGACTAGTAATAAATGGTAAACACAAGGTTAAATCATGTTTTACTAAATTTGTAAAACATTTATGCATATTATCTTTTTTAAGATAAGGGCTACATACTTGAAACTTTCTTACGAGACTATATATAACACCAAAAATTTTATAATTTTCCAAGATAGATTTAAATAGGAAATTTAGTTTAAACAAATATGAAAATTTAAACAGGTATTTCATTTTCAAAACTATATATTTATTATACTTTATTGAATTTTTTTCAAATAAAATTATAAAAAATCAAAAAAAAATTCATAATCTTGATGTATTGTACAATGATAAAAAATATTTTAAGAACTATTATGGTCAAAAAATATAATTTTAATAAACCAATTTCATATTTTAAGATTGTAATTGTTATTTTCCCTCAAAACCTTGTTATTTTACTAATAATTTTAAAATGTATAAATCTAATAGTATTTAACCCATAATATATAAGTATTATTACATTTAAAAATCTTATATGCAAAGTTTTAAATATAAATGATTAAAATTTTAGTTTTAATTTATATTTTATTTTATAATAACAACAATAAAATTCATGAAATACCTTTGTGATTTTTAAGAGAATTTCATTATAAGAATATTTATGTTAACGAGGTAAATAAATTGTTGCTAACATGCTTTCCTTTATTTCCTTGAAAACTTAAAATTTTTCTAAATTCCTGTGGCTAATAAATGGCATTTAATATAGGGGGAAATTATATTCGGGGGCTAACTTGTATTTTGAAAATTAAGGGGATCCAGAGCAAGAAACCTTACTCCTATGTTTAAAGGTTTCGATCTCAGTTGTTTACAATTTAAAGGTTTCAGTTTAATTATAGTTTAAAAAAATTATAACGTTCAAGTTTGAATCAATAAATTTTACTGGTAAAGCAAATACATTAAATATTTAAGATTTATCAGTAAAATGTTTAGCATTAGGTAGTAAAATTAATATGATCCAAAAATTTACAATTTATATTGGTAAACTTTTGTGAGATAAAATATAAAATTTAAATCCCATCAATTTTATACAAATTTAATAATATTTTAGTTAACCAGTACAATATAATTAATAAATAAAATATCTAATTAAATATTAAATAAAAGAACATCGTCAGAGTTTGGCTTTCAGTCATTTTATATGTTTATTTTAAATATAACTAAGCCAGAAATAAAAATATTATAAAAAATAAAAATTTTATTGAATGATGATGATGTTCAGTGATATTAGATCAGCCGAGGAATATAAAAAAAATACCATTATGAAAGTAATAAAATCATTCCAGGGAGCATGTATATATAATTTCAATTTCACGAAGTGGGTTTAACCCGGGTTAGAAAAGTTAGGTTTGTGGTTCTCTCCTTTTACTGATTTAATATAAAGGTTTTGTTTAGATTTTGAAAATTATAAAAGCAAATTTCTGTATCACAATTTAGTTCAATCGGTGTCCTTGATCCACAGAGAGGTTTTTACCGGGGAAATGAATGATTAGGTAGGATAAAAAAAAATTTTAAACAAAGGGGAAGGGTAGGGGAGGTTAAAAATTTCTATTACTACAAAAGTGTTTCATATAAATTTATTTTAATATTATACTAATAAATTGATAAAATAATATTTAATATAAATTTTATTATAGATCTATTTTTAGATCATAAAAAAATATAAATTTATATTTATTTGGACAAGATTATCGGAACTTTAATAACAATGATAAAAATATGATTGCCCAAATAAATTATATAAAAATACAATGAATTATAAATATATAAATTGTAAATTTATTTTATGTATTAAAATTTTATTCCACATGCCGCCAATTTAGGCTGCGGCGACAACCAAGGAAGAAAAATATTCTGTCGCCACTGAATTATATTCCGGTACAACGGTTTACATATATTATAAGTTTAAGTAAAAATATAATAAAAAATAGCCAACTAATCAATCAAATAATTTTTAAGCATTGGTTGGCGGATGGGCCTAATAAATTTTTTAAATCAATTGCGGGGTGAGTGAATCTAAAAAAAACTTATGAGCGGTCAAAAATACATAAAATTAAAACAATGGATGGGTAAACTAACCTATTGGAGACCTCTAATCTAAAGCTTCTGAAGAAGATACTAAACGTATAAAATTAAAACAATGGATGGGTAAACTAACCTATTGGAGACCTCTAATCTAAAGCTTCTGAAGAAGATACTAAACGTAGTGCAAGTTTTATATCTAAATTGACTATTTTTCACTAAATTTTTTATTATATTAAAGGGATTTATTGTTAGTCTATGGTGTAGGAATTACATTTAGATTTATTGAAATATTTTCAATACTCTTTATTGTTTTTGTAGTGCTGAGTAGATAATTTATTTAAATTCCCAGTAGAGGAGTTCAAACTCTCGTCCGCGCAGGAAAGACTCATCTTTAACCAGAGTGGGTGTTGACACATCCTAGATTGAATATAGTTGGGTAATGGCAAAATGTCGGCTTTCGACTCGATCTTCAGGCGCGGAGAAAATCCGTTTAGAATTATATTTTGATAGTAAAGTATCTATCTGAATAGAAGTTTAAGAAAACTATTTTATTTTCCATCTAAACCATCATATGATTACCGGGTATCACTAAAGATCTTCAGCATGTCTTAAAAAATATTAAATATCTAGTATTGATCTCTTCTTTGTTTTAATCAGAGACCTGCAGACCCGGCCCTAAGCCCGGCCCGGGCCGGGCCTGGAATTTATTTTTTAAATAACCGGGCCGGGTAAAACTTTTTTAAAAAATTTATACAACATGAATTATTATATTTGTCAATTATATGATTATATATGGTTATAATGATTATATATGGTTATAATGATTATATATGGTTATAATGATTATATATGGTTATAATGATTATATATGGTTATAATGATTATATATAGTTATGATTAATATAATGTTGGGTGAAAGTTAACACTAGCTAACACTCATAATAGTATCTATTACATAATATAATAGTTTTCCTGCCATAAAATAAATACGCAAAGGATTAAATACATTATTATATAGTATATGTTATATTTTTTATTAATTAAAATATCAGTTTTATTTTCTTTAAAAATACAATTAATACAGTATATTGTCAAAATATTATTTACACAAGCTTTTTATAGTATTAATTTGTAATATACTAAATAACTGTCTAGAATAAAAATAAAATAAAATATGTAATAGTGTTGTTAAAAGGCTCGTTTTGAGCCGATTTTTAAAAATGGCTAACTCAGTTTTTTATCCAGAAAATATTACGCAAGCCTAAAAATTTTGCTCATAGAAGGAGCAAAGGTATAAACATATATTATCAAAATTTCGAGGCTTAGTCAATATTTTTCTAGCGGAAATATTGAGTTAGCCGTTTTACAAAATCGGCTCAAAATGAGCCGTTTAACAACATTAGCTAATATGCTTGCTTTTTAAATGATAATACTCGCCGAAAAATATGATAAAATACTGAATAGGTAAATTTTTTGTATATACCAGGTTGAATATAATTTTAAAAAATTCTGAGCCAGTCCTATTTTTTTTTTAAAATTCCGGACCAGGCCTAAAAAAACTTTTTTTTAAAATATTCGGGCAGGGCATAAAATTTTTAAACCCGGGCCGGGCCATAAAAAATTTTTTAAAATAAAATCCGGGCCGGGAAGTGCAAATGGTACTTCTGCAGGTGTTTTTAATATTTTGTATATCTTCTATTTTCTTTCATTTTTAAACAGTAACAAAAATCTTTAAATATTCATTTGAAGATTATAAAACATTGAGTCAAAAATTTTTCAGGATCAACATGATGGAAGATTTTTTTTAAAGATTAAAAAATAAATGGTTTCTTATGCATAAAAATTACAAATTATTTACTTATAAAAGACAAGTGGTATTCTATATAAAAATTTTTCAAAAATCATATTTGAACATTCTCAAAAGAATCTTCTTTTAAAAAAAATCTTCATTATAATAAATATTCCCAGGTAAAAAATCTTTATATTTTTTCTTTTTGAGCAAATGATAAACTCTGATTTTAAAGAAATCTTTATTATAAAAAAAATTCTCAAATGGCTTTATAAAATTTTTATATTTAATAGATTCTCCCACCTTTTCTGCTAATGATAATGTATTTGTTGCCCTAGCTAAATTTTAGGCAAAACTGGTCATCGTTTTAACCTTCCGGTGTTTAGAGATCTAGATAAGATTGAATAATTTGATTCTCATATTATAAATGATTATAAATAATTGATAGATTTTAGTAATAAAACTATCATTAAGGCACTTCCATATATTTGTAAATTTGTAGCTGCACTAAACTCTTTGGCACTTGACGGCAGAGTTGTTGTTATATTTAATGAATAATAATTTTATATTGGTATATTCATTAAATATATTAAAATACCAAACTCATTTTTTAAAAAACTATTCAAAATTTGATGATTTCAAAACTATATCAATATTTATATCATCTAAAGGGTGCCCAAAAATGACGAATATTAAATATTTTATTTCATTTTAGAGATTGTATAGATATATTTATCTAAAAAATTATGATATATATTTTAAATTATTAATAATAAAATAAATTATAATATAAAATTTACCTTGCTGTCGTCACCCATTGCATAAAATAAAATTTTTCTGGTTTATTTTTGTAATGAAATAAATTCGACCATATTAAATGAGTTTATTTCAAATATTATTATCTTTAAGGCTGTGTCCAAAATGTTTTGAAAAAATCCTTAAAATTTATAAATTTATCAAATTAACAAAACATTTTGGACACATCCAAGTTTTATAAAAATTAAAATATTCAAAATGCTTGATATGATTCAATTATTAGTTATTTATTGGAGATGATGCATATCCTTTATCCGACTTCATAATAATAAAAACCCTTTAAATGTCCAAAAAATAAATTATCTTGTGCTCAATTAGGAATGTTTTGTGATTTTAACTGCCAAATTTAGGCTTCTTATTAAATTATCTACTAGCATAGTTAACACAGTTCAAATTGTTAAGGTTGCCTTTTACATAATGTAGAGGGCATTCAAAATATACATTTAGATCAAGGGAAAAAGGACCTTTACCAGATTCTATTGAATTATGCTTTCCATAAGATTATTTTCTAACACTAAAAAAAATATATTTATAATATAAATGGCTATAATTTTTTAGGTTAGTATTTTTATAAAAATGGGCCGTATTATTTAAAAAATGTTCAAGAACAACTTTTATGTATTAAGGCTTTATTAAAAATAAATTGAATCTTTTTATCTAATATTTCATACTAACAAGCAGAGTTGTTAAAGTATCTAGATACAAGTATCGATACTCTATCTAGATATAAAAATGTGGTATCTGTATCTAGATAGATTTTTGATTAAAGTATCTATATCTGTATCTAGATCTTATTTTAGAGGTATCTGTATCTGTTTACTTTTTAAGATACATTTTGATATACTTCTATTTAACGCTTTTTATATTATAAATAAAAACACTTGAATTTAAAATTTATTTTATTTCATATGAGCATATAACTTAATATTAATATATATATATGTAAAATATTAAAACTTATATATAAAAAAGAATATATAAATATTAATTAAATAT